TTTGAAAAGGAAACTGGCACTCAAGTTCTCCAACCAAAAATTATTCTACCACCTGCTGCTGAAAACGACGTCACTGATTTTGTTGATCCTGTTGACACTTCCCCACTTGAAGTTCAATCCACGACCCAAAATTTTTCTGACATTCCCCTCACTCCTGAAGCAACTAACCAAACCTCAAGCCCAGTGTCTAGCCCTCAAATCGACAATGATACTATTATGCTACCTGACACCAACTCACCTCATCTGATTGAATATACCGATTATGCCAGTAACTCTCCTCCGCTTGATGCAATAATGGATGCTCCATCTGATCCTACACCTGCTATAATCGGCTCTCCATCTTTAGGTGTTCAGGGACGAACACAGAGCCTAGGGGGGGCTAATGTCAGAACCAATCCAGCCAATAAAATAGTTCCGGTACAAGAGCCCGGTACCGAGAACTATTATGACGCAATGGAACTCACAAGACCCAAACGAAGGTTTAAGCCAAAGGTCACGAAGGCAAGACCAAACAAGAAAACAAAACTATATGTCATAAGAACAAACAAGCAAAGCTATAAACTATTTTAGCATGAAAACAATTACGCACATATGAAACATTAATCAAATTAGATAGTATAAATAACCCCACATTAAAATTAATAAACCTTTATCTTTTATCTCATACTTTATTTTGTACTTGTACTTTGAAGAGTACTCTTCTAGCCAATAGGAATAGGTTCACGTGAAAGTCACGTGCTAGGTTATTACGTAAGGGTCAACTAGACATCTGAGGTTTACAAAATATATAAGGGGCTATGGCCCAATGGATAAGGCGTCTGACTACGAATCAGGAGATTCCAGGTTCGACCCCTGGTAGCCTCATATTTATTTTTTTTATTTGTGTGGGTTTGGTGGTGTCTGTAGCTCTGTTTTTTACCTGTTGGTGCTTGTTATTTATCTCACAAGAACAAATACATAGATATGGAAATATGAACCAAAGTTTTATTTGGAAAAAAAAACCTGTTTATTTTTATGAGGAACAGCATGAAGAGCTACTTGAACCTATAGAGCTAGAGTGGAACAACGGTGCGGAAGAAGAACAGCAGCTACCCATGGTGATGATGGTGATAATATAAAGTTGATTATTGAATAGGAACTGAGATATCTCTCAATTTTCTCTGCTTTATATACGAATATCTAGACAACATTGAAGCCAGCTTTATTCACTGATCTATAACAGCAGCAACATTTGTGTCATTTATTACAAAGAGTCATGTAACAATGATTGAATGCAATAATGCACCTGTAACGTTTTTATAAAACTATAAGCAGCCATGCTATTACTAAAATAAAAATTGTATCCCAAATTATATTACTTTATGACGCATTCATAGATTGGCAGCTCACTGAAATATAATTGTTTTTTATGATATTATTAGCCCATTCGGGTCAACCTGGTCGCGTAAGTGTACAATTGCAAAAGAAATATATTTACAAAAGTTTAAGAAGTGTTCACGTAAAAAAAATCGACAAATTCGGAACAGGGTTTTGATCTATGCAATGATAATAGGAATTCTTTACGGTTTTTACGTTTTTTTTTTTTTTTTTTTAAAAAAAAAATAGAATATGTTCTAACGCAAAGTCTAAATATTGATGTAAGCAACCACACATACAAACCGATCAATTTATGGCAATTCATAGTAAAATTTTAAAATTAAATCTTATTTTTGAGGATGTCATAGTTATTTACAAACAGCAAACAAAGTCCATCCAAATAAGGTAAATTATTTTATATAATCACACACTTGTGAATACAGTTGTTTTACATGTCATTGATCATGAATAACACTGAAGTAGCTTTTAGATCTATGACTATCTTTTTGTTTATATAAAATCAAACAATATTTCCCAGTTGAAATATAACTACCTTCATCAATGAATTTTGCAATTGTCTCATTAAACTTTAAAGTAATGTTAAACAAACAATATCTGCCAAAGTTTATAATGGAGTAGGTTACAACAGTTTTTTAGATACCATTTGAACGGAGTGTACAGAACTTCAAGTCAATTTAAGCATAATTTAAATTGATTGTAAAGCATTGCAATTTATTTCAGACATTAACTGGACCGAATGGAAAGCACTGCAGGTTATTTCAGAAACTTTTTGAACGAATTGTAAAGCATTGCTATTGCATTCAAACACTATTTAGGCAAAACTTAAAGTAATGTGAGTTAATGCAATCATTTGAACCGAGTGTAAAGCATTGCGAGTTAATTCAAACGTTACAAAAGGGATGTTTGTATTCAGGCACAAAAAAAAAAAAAAAAGTGCGCGCGGTGATTGAATCTCATGCTATGCCAAAGCAAGAGTATCATAGCCGATTTCCAGCTTGGTACACCACATAAATTTGCAATAAATTTCGATTTTTTTTTAAAAACTTGAAATGAAGATATATCCATCAGTTTTTAATATTTTTTGGTTCTGTTTCTTTTTTAAATATTGGCCTTAATAAAATGTACTTAAATATTAAATTTAAAGATAGGCTAATAATAAAATACGTCCAAAAAAGGCAGTTAAATTTTACTTTTTTTCTAGTTACCCAAGAACGTTTTCACAAACAGTTTATAACTCCAAATTAGTTCAAAAAGACGAAAAAAAGCAAATCTCAACGGCTAAATTTTTTGATGTCCGTATATGGGCGCTCAAATAAGGTTCAAAATCACGTGATTTGGGGTTGTAGCTCAAATGGTAGAGCGCTCGCTTAGCATGTGAGAGGCACTGGGATCGACGCCCAGCTACTCCAACTTTCTTTTTCGAAAAATCTACAAAAAATCGGACTTTTAAAGTGTGATTATATAAATCAACCAATCAACTCGTCCCGTCGAAAATAACTTTTTTTTTTGAGACTTGCCATTATCTTTAGGTGATATAAACTTGTAAAATAAATTGGTAGCAGTCAAATACTTTAAAGTAATTCTTTTGTTGAGCTCCAGACTATGTAAATATCCATGATCCACGATTACAAGGATTAAATAAGTTCGAGCCCCCCGATTAAAAATGAATTTGAAGGAACAAAGGAAAAACAAATCAATTTATCTAGTCAGAAGCCAATATAAAGTAACACGACAACTACAGCAAGAGAAAGAAAAAAAAATAATCGGTTACTGGAAAATATTGTTTTTGGGACATAATGTCTGTTTTTAAATAATTAAAGGTAACAAACTAGAGAAATAGAACCTATTAAATCAAAGTATTCCATCATGGTTTCAATTTTTTCACAAAGGTCTTCACAGTATAAAAACAAAACGAGTTCGGAACAGTACAAATACCACAAAAACAAGCCTATAATGGATAAGTTTTTTTAAACAAGCTGCTGATAGTCCTTTTTATTTGGAGGGACAGGGTTACAGCACAACATCTCTCGACTGTTTGGGATGACTAATAGATGCGGATTGCAGCCCAGCTGTTGTAATGTTATAGAAAATAATGCTTTCTAAGATATTATACACTTTATATTATTAGGAGAGATAAAATTAAATGTATAAAAGAACTACATATTGACATATATGCCAACCACCCACTTCCCCCGATCAGCTATTAAACAATGTATAATACGGTCTTACAAATAGTTATAATAAAAAGTATAGTTAAATGAAATAAGGTAGAGTTTCTTTATTTCAAATTTTAAATTGCTTGGCTTTTAGAAATGACCACAGCCAGTAATTGGATTTTGCTCTTTGGAACAACAGGCGCCCATATTTGATGATTTAAATATATTTTTAATGGTACAGTGTAAAGAAAAAAAAAAAAAAAAAAGTCGAAACATCTTTCTTTTTTTTATAAAGATTTACGGTCTTCACTATACAGTGAGCCAACAAAGTGTCAATTATAGTGTCATTGTAGCATTATGATGGATGTCAATTGATCCATGCCTTTTTTGGTAGTTGTGCAAGGCTTATCAGGATGTTACATTTTTTAATTTTCTTTTCTAATGGGTAGGACGGTGGTCGTACCAATATAGATTATCACGAATTCAATGATCACCAAATATTGCAAAGACAGGAGAACGGTAAATTGAAATTACAGCCAATTGTTCCATTACTACTTCTAAATAGTTTAAACGTTCAATTTTCCATGACCCATTTAATCTTTTAGTTGTAGACAATAAAGAGGACAGATATAAGAAGTCATTGTCTCAATCTTATTGTCGTGAAGATATTGACAATGTCCCAAAGGTCTTTAAGCTTTTAGTTACAACGATTCAGTTTTTTATTTTTATATTTTTTTAACCATCAAAATCACCCTAGCCATGTCATTATTGTAGGATTTTATTATCCATATTGCCAATTTAATGCTGGCGGAACATCACAATCAAACCAAAATGCTACTATGATTAATCTTTTGACAGTTTAATAATCATAACCCAATGTCACTCTTAACTTTTATATATCGATCAATATACTTGTGTGTTACCTACCATTTCCCAGTCATTTTGTATGTGGGATTTGAAGCTTATTTGGCAAAAGAAAAAAATAAAAATAAAGTTATATAGTGGTTTTTTTAACCCTTTTAGAATACCGGCAAGTCATTTGTCAAAGAAGGGGGGGGGATTATTACAATACAATTCTGAGAAATTGATTCAACACAAAGATGCAACGAGTTGAAGGTTCCCCCCCCTCTCACAAACAAATAAAGCTGTTATTAGGTTTGTTTGAAACAGTGCCACAAATAAAGGAAAGGATGAAGAGTTATTAAATCAGTAACAAAATCGATGAGAATTTTAACACGACTTTAAATACAATCAAAGTGCCTTGCAGGATTTACATGAATACGTCATTGGTTGTAAAATAAAAGATGGCTTTAATCACCATAAGCATTTATAAAACGGAGCAAAGGCTGATTGTCGTTTATAGTAGAGTTTTAAGTGTTACATTCTTATTTTTTTTAGCATTACCACTTGGACAATTGTTAGGTTTTACATAAAGGGGAACCAGGTGCTTGTCTCATTTTGCACATCATGTACTTCAGGTATCAATGCAGTAACGGATTTAATTTTTTAAACAGCGGTGTATGCTATTCTGTAAGTGTATATATTATATATATATATTTTTATTGGCTGATGCCAACCACACACATGTAACAGGAAAAAAAAAAAAAAACAAAGGCGACGGGGAGTTTTCTTTTTTAGTGAAAACAACGAATATTTACTTGCCCCTTACATGCTTATTGATGTAACAATTTTTGATTATGTTTTGAACTATATATATATAAAAAAAATAAAAATATTGAGTAATGAACTATTTATCTTTCTTCTTTTTTCTTTTCCTTTTATGACTACGAGTGGTATTAAATCAGGATTATACTACTCTTTAAAGATAGTGGTTGCACTCGTGGTAACCTATACGCTTGTTTACATTTATAAATGCAATGCACCTAATCTCGGTCAACCTCTAAGATGGGACTGCTCCTCCAACAATTTGCAACTAAATCAAATCAATCAAACCAAAGTGTTTCTTGGGATATTTTCAACAAGAGATAAACTGATGCGCCGAGAGATGATTCGCGAAACTTACCTTCAACATCGACCTGATAATATGGAATATAAATTTATTATTGTTGCCCAAGACACGCTTGAACTACAAGAAGAAATAAGCACCTATGATGACATACTGCTTGTAAAGATGGAAAAAGAAAATATGAATGCTGGAAAGACATACGAGTTCTTTAAAATGATGGCAGGGTTAAAGAGATACAGTGATTTTGATTTTGTTTTGAAAGCAGATGATGATGCCTATTTACATTTGGATCGAATTCAATTTGATTTAGCACACACAAATAGGAATATGTCCTATTGGGGATATCTCGTGGGTAACACATTCATGGCTGGACAATGTTATGGGTTATCAATGGATCTTGTCAAATGGGTAGCGAATTCAACCCTGACTCAAAAATATAAAGCAGGACATGAAGATTCTCAAGTGCAAAAATGGTTTCTTTGGTCCAATATCAACGATCAAATACGATACGAAGTACGAAACTGTAGAATACATGATCATATAAACTCTGGATCAGTTTATGCAAAGGATATCGATATAAACAGTTCAATGGTGGTACATCACTTGAAGAAAGATCATTTTTTTATGAGAACTCATTTTGATCTATCACCAACCTACAGATAAAAGTAAAATAAAAGTAAAAAAAAATTCATCTTTGTATTTTAATACCCCACTCTGAAGGTTTATCAACTATGTTTGACTTTAAAGTGAAGCGCAGATAGTTTCATATTTACACAACTGCTGTCTATATTAGAGAAGAAATTTATACATGACATTGACTTATGCTGAGTTAAAGAAAACACCGTTTGCTGACGTTTTTGGTTATATATTTAAGCTTGTTTCGAGAAGACAAGTAATTACAAAAAAGAAGCATACATTAGTTCCAAGCACAGATAGGGTAAGCAGCGTATGGGAAAGTGTGATTGTAGAGAAATATGCTAAGCCTCCCGTACCTTTTTATTGTGACTTGAAACGGAATTTTTCGGTTTTGAAGCCGATTTAAGCGGAGAAAAAGCTGAATGAAAATGTGCACCCCCCCCCTTCTAGGGCCCCCTTTTGTAAGAAAAAAAAAAAAAGTACTTTCTTTCTTTTTTAATTTTTTTAATTTTTTTTTTTTTAATACAAAGAAATGACAGCAGTGACAACAGCAACTTACCTTGACACACCTAAATTAAAGGTTACCAAAGACTCCAAATCCTATGTTCACTTCATTGCTGGAGGGTAAGTTTTTTTATTTTTTTTTATTTTTCGTTGACAGCCAAATAAAAAAAAAAGTGAGTATTCTAACTGTCATATAGTGTTGGAGGTCTTGCAGGTGCTTTGTGTACATCTCCTTTGGATGTGGTAAAAACTAGATTACAGGTAATATAAAATATGTTATTATATGTATAAATATCTAACCTCTTTTGTTCTTTCTACAGTCTACATTTTATCAACAAACAATGAGACAATCAAACACTCATGCAAATGGGTTTATCTTTGGTCATTTCCTAGAGACCGGAAGATTATTAGTGTAAGCTTTTTTTTCTTCTTCTCTCCTTTTGGCACTCATGGATGACAATTGACGTATTTTTTTTTTTGTTGTGATTGGATAGACGTATCAAGAAGGTAGAAGGATTCAGTGGATATTTTAAAGGATTAGGACCAAATCTTGTGGGAGTTATTCCAGCTAGATCAATCAACTTTTTTACATATGGCAATGGCAAGAGAATTTACACTGAATTGAACCATGGTAAAGAAACTGCGGGGGTCCATTTGATTTCAGCAGCTACAGCAGGTGCCATCACATCTACAGCAACCAACCCCATTTGGGTGATCAAGACAAGATTGCAACTACAAGGCAATGGAGTGAATCGATATGGTAGCAGTATTGATTGTCTTTTTGGTATTCTCCGTGAGGAAGGAGTAAGAGGATTGTATAAAGGCATGAGTGCATCCTATCTAGGTGTGGTGGAAGGTACAATCCAATGGGGTATTTATGAGAATCTGAAAAAGAGATGGAGTGTTCCCAAGGATCAAATCCAATCAAATCAAAGATTGATTGGAGGTAAGACAGTTCAGGATTGGGCAGGTCATTTAGGTGCAGCAGCAACATCCAAATTTATTGCAGCATGTATAGCGTATCCACATGAAGTGATTCGTACACGACTTAGACAGCCATCTGAAAATGGTGTTCGTAAATATACTGGTATTTGGCAATGCTTACGTCTGGTTGCTAGGGAAGAGGGCGCAGCTGCATTATACGGTGGCATGACTGCTCATTTACTAAGAGTCGTACCCAATGCTGCCATCATGTTTTTCTGTTATGAAGCCATTGTTCAAAAGTACGGTGACTCATAATTCTATTTCTTTTCCTTCTTTCCCTACCATTTGTATATTTTCTTTTTTTTTTTCTCGCATATTATTTTAGATGTATATCCCCTTAATCATTAGCCTTGTTTTATTTGTCGCTGACTTGAAATAAACAAATAAATGAAAATTTCTTTTTTTTTTCTCACTCTCTTTCTTTTTTTTTCACTTTTCAACAATGTCTCCATCTATTCTTAAAACAAACCAAGTCTCTACTGATGCTGACTTTGACTTGCAAAAATGGTTAAAAGAAATTGAAGGAGCAGAAAACTTGATGAACGAAGTTGAGACAAAAGCAGACAACTTGCAAGCAAAAGTCGATGCACTTTTACTCGAAGTCGGTCAACCCTTTGTCACCCAAGACTTGGATAATACTATTCAAGCTGTACAAAACGTCACGCTTGACTCTGAGAAACAAGACAAGCAACAAGAACAATAATAAAAAATACATGGAAATACATATACCCTTTTTTTTTTTATTATTATTATTTGAAAATAAAATTCTAAAAAATAATAAAAAAAAACCTTTTTTATCTTTTTATTTTTTCCTTCCCAATGTCTTCATTAGAGAAAGAATTGTTTAAAAAGAGCATGTTACCTCCTCTTGGTAGTGTCAGCGAAGAAGGCGGAACAAGGTAAGCTTGTTGTATTTTTATGCGCTTTCCTTTTTGGTTATTATTAACGAGATGGGTCATTCCATTGAAGCAACAACGAAAAGAGAACAGGTGCTGCCTCACAACAAAAGTTAAAGAAATACAGTCCTTATTCATGGCAAGATTATTTCGATCAAAGTCTTGATATTGCTATTCCAGATACCTCTGATATATCCTTTTTTTATATATTTTCCTCATATATGACATTTAACCCTCATTTAAAAATGCATTATATATATCTTTAACTTGAATTATCACACATCTTTCGTATTTACAAGACAAACCCAATCAAGGAAAATGGACCACTATTTATCATGCATCATGGTGCGGGATCTTCAGCCTTGACATTTGGATTCACAGCAAAATATATCAAGGAATTGTCCAATGGACAATGTGGCGTGATGGCGGTTGATTGTCGAGGTCATGGCGCAACAAACACTGAGAACAATACCGATTTCTCATTAGAGTGTCTTTCGGACGATTTAATCCATATCATTCAAGCAACTGTCAAAGAAACCCAAGATATCATTCTTGTTGGTCACAGGTAAATACTATAAATGCCAATCTATAATTTAAGTCCCCGCCTTTTAAAAAAATATCACCATGCTTTAAAAATACATATAGTATGGGTGGATCAGTGGTTGTCAATGTAGCTCATAAACGAATTTTCAAGAATATAATTGGTGTCAGTGTGTTAGATGTGGTTGAAGGTTCTGCAATGGATGCATTATCTTCCATGACGAAAATTTTAAGCTCTAGACCAGTAACGTTCAATTCCTATGAACAAGGCATCTTATGGAGGTATTACACAGAGACAAAAAAAGAAAAAAGTGCATTGATATTGACTTTTTCTAACAAAAAAAAAGCGTACAGTCCGACACAGTGCATAATGTAGAGTCTGCGCGACTTTCAATTCCTGCATTATTACAACCGGTGGAGGGAGGCAAATTAAAGTGGATCACCGATTTGATCAAGACACAACCGTATTGGTCAGAATGGTTTGGGGGATTAAGTGAAAAGTTTTTGAATTCAGGTACTGCAAAGTTACTTATACTAGCAGGTACAGATAGATTAGACAAACCTCTCATCATTGGTCAAATGCAAGGTAAAAAAAATAACCCCTCTAAGAGGGAACCCAAAGGGGGCAGAAATAAGAAACTCACGGCATCCTTGATTTTAGGAAAATTTCAATTAAGTATCTTTCCTGATGCTGGTCACTTTTTACAAGAGGATACGCCAATGAAAACAGCAAGTTCTTTAATAGAATTTTGGAGACGAAACCAACGTTTGATTTTGCCTCCTAAAGTAAAGATATAATTTTTTTTTTTTAGGTCTCCGTCAGACCGTCACGTAATCTATACACTGCCCAAAATAAAAATAATTTTTTTTTTTCTTACTCTTTTTTACTCAAAAACAAAAAAAAATGGGAATTACAGGTTTAACAAAGCTCATTGCTGAGCATGCTCCTGATGCCATTAAGAGTCACGAAATTAAGAGTTATTTTGGTCGTAAAGTGGCTATTGACGCTTCCATGTGTATCTATCAATTTATGATTGCCGTGCGTCAACAAGACGGTCAACTTTTGACAAACGACCAAGGCGAAACTACCAGTCACTTAATGGGCATGTTTTATCGTACAGTACGTATGGTTGACAACGGTATCAAACCAGTCTATGTATTTGACGGAAAACCACCCACCTTAAAATCAGGCGAAGTATGTCCTTTTTTTTTTGAAGTACGGCTGTCTTATTGATCCTCTCTTCTTTTTATTTTATATATATTTATAGTTGGCTAAAAGAAAAGCGCGTAAAGAAGAAGCACAGGAAAAAATGGACGAGGCAAACGAGGTTGGTACTTCAGAGGATGTCAACAAATACAACCGAAGAACTGTCAAAGTCACAAGAGAGCACAACGAAGAATGCAAAAAACTCCTAAGAACAATGGGAATCCCTTATGTTGAAGCTCCATGTGAAGCAGAAGCTCAATGTGCTGAATTAGCAAAGGCCGGTAAAGTATTTGGTGCTGCATCAGAGGATATGGATACCTTGACCTTTGGTACGCCCGTTTTATTACGTCACATGACTTACTCTGAAGCACGTAAACTCCCCATTGATGAAGTCAACTTGCAAAAGGCTTTGGAAGGTTTGGGTTTCACCATGGCTCAATTCGTTGATCTTTGTATCTTGATGGGTTGTGATTATACTGCTTCTATCAAGGGCATTGGTCCCCAAGGTGCTTACAAACTAATCAATGAGCACAAGTCCATTGATGAGGCAATTAAACATTTAACCTCTAAGCAAAAGGAAGGTATACCTGAGGACTGGAATTATGCTGAGGCTCGTGCTCTCTTTGTCGCTCCTGATGTGACTCCTGGAGCAGACATCGAGCTCAGCTGGACCGAGCCTGATGTAGAAGCTTGTGTGCAATACATGGTCAACGAAAAGGGTTTTGCGTAAGTTAAAAGAAAAAAGAGAGAGATGATACACACGACTTATATCATTTTTATAGTGAGGATCGTATCAGAAAGGGATGTGAAAAGCTTGGAGCAAAATTAAAGCAAGCTACACAAACAAGAGTACAAGATTTTTTCAAGGTGATGCCTTCTACATCCACTGCCAAAAAGGTACACTATTTTTATTTTTATTTTTATTTGTATAAGGCGTGATTTTATTTTGTTTACTGAATTTTTATAACTAGCCTGATACAAAGAAAAGAGGTGCAAAGGAAACATCAAAGAGAGGAGGAGGATCCAAGAGAGGAAGAAGATAAAAAAATTATAAACTGTAATCATTGTAAATAAAAGCTAAAAAGAATAATAATAATAACAATAATAAAAGCGCTTTTTATTTTTTTATTTTCTTCTTTTTAACCATCAAATGTGACATCGTTATCCTCCTCCAGATGATTAGAATGATGACGATTTTTTGCTTTTCCCTTGGTGAGAATACTTTGTGCATTTTCCAAGATACCAGCCAATGTCTTTTCCATCTCAGCCACTACCTTTAAATCCTTAAGCTCTCTAGATTCAACAATACTAGGAAATGCTTGGATCAAACCCGTTTTAGCAGAAGGCGCAAATAAAGCATGTCGATACCAAGGTCGGTCTACCAATAACCCGTGATTTTGCACAAACGCTCTTTCCAATCGAATTAAGCGTTCATTGGCTACACTAATTTCTTTCGCAGCTCTTCTTCTGGCTCCCTTCTTGTTCTCCGTCACTAACCGATCGAGACCTTGCATCTTTGTATTGAATTGAATACTAGATTTGTATAAATTATGAAGCGCAGTACTTAATTTAGGCAATTCATGTTCCAATGTCTTGTTGGTTTCCTTATTGTTGTGACCCTTCTTTAAAATTCCCGTTTCCTTGTTTGGTTTGTCACATGTGAGTTGGTCCAAATAATGTTTCATGGTCAATGCATAATCAATAGGGTATAAAGGAAGAAGTGTATCACTTGATAAACGCATAGCAATTAAGCCCCAAATCTTGACCATCGTTTGATGATATTCAAATGTGGGATCTCCAAATTCTTCCATCCACGCAATACTAAATAATAATAATAAAAAATATGTGAATATTTTCAAAAAAAAAAAAAAAAAAAAAATCACCATTAATTTTTTTAAGGTTTACCTATCGAATGCACTATGTGACACATCATATTCATCTCCATCAAACGACATGGATAAACTAGAGATACCGGCATGTTCAAAAAAGGCAACAGAATCCAATCCTGGGGTATATCCGATAGGTTGAATTAAAGGCTCAATAAACGCTTCCTCATCATCATCATCGTCCTCTTCTTTTTTTTTGTTGCCCTTCTTTAATGAGTTACTAATATATTGATCCAACCAGGATTCATACACGGATTTACTGGTCTTGGGGTCAATCACCATGGACGTTACATCTACAATTAATCGGTTCAATAAAGGCGAGGCCTGGGCAGAGAAATGAGATCCAGTCACAGCATGATCCACGTTCAAATAAGCAACCGCTTCTTTATCTAACCAATGCATATGTTCTTCAACCCATTCAGTGGAACCAACATTACCGTATTCATTGGCATCCCAAGAGGCCAAAATAATTGAACGACGAGGCTTCCAACCCTTTTCCAAAAGAATACCGAAAACTCTAGCAAGCTCTAACTAAGGATTTTTATAAAGCGTTTTTTTTTTTTAGTAAGCTTAGACAGAAAAAAAAAAAATCTCTTCTTTCTTTTACCAGAACAGCAGATCCAGAAGATGGGTCGGCAGCTCCGTGATCCCACGCGTCTCTATGGTTACCTAAATAGCAATAAATAAATAAATGCTACGACTCACATGATGTGTATTTATATATATATTCTCTCTCTTACCAATGATGATTGCCTTGTTATGTTCTTCGTGACCTGGAATATGTGCCAGTACGTTCCAAATAGGCTTCATTTGAAAATCATTGACATTCACCATATTGCACAACGCAATACTAGGTCCTGTAAAATACCGTACTTCATCCACACCTTGTCCAACCCAGGTAGGTTCAATAAATCCCAGATCTTGGGTGGCACGAAGTAAAGGAAGTGCATCGTTCCAAGAGATCGGCAACGAAGGAATTTTGGGCAAGTTGGTAGCGGTTTCATTACGTGTAGCATTAAATGTAGCAGCATAACCGGGTGTGAAAGGATCGCCCGGATGAATAAATCCGTATTGGACAGAGTCACGATGAACCACAGTGGATGTCTTGTCATCCACTTGAGGGTCTGTATACACAAGGGCTCCGATACATCCAAAGGTCTCGGCATTTTGTACCTTGATACTGCTGGGAATCACTCCATGACGAATTAAACAGATTGAGCCCTTCAATTCAATCTCGTTCTTGACAAGTAAAACAAAGTCCTCGATACGACCGTAATTTACATAAACAATAGGTCCAGTGACATTACCATCAGCAGAGTAAGCTATAAGGTTTTTTTTTTTTTCATTAGATTTATTTATACATGTAGTTTTCGTAAATATCTTTTTTTTTACCGTGGAAAGTAGGACTGCTGTCTCTTTCGTTTGTTTCTCTTAAGGAAGCCTTGTACAATAAATCTTGGGGACCCGAGACAATAGCCAGCTTACGTTCAATAGGGTAATTGATAAAGGGATAGTAAGTATCAATGGAAGCGTTCTTGAGACCGAACTCGGTGAACTTGTTGCGGGTCCATTTAGCCAGATCATGGTCATTGGGACTGGCAGCAAGATGGGAGTTGGAAGCATAATGATAAAATAATTCGCGGATAGATTCTGAAGAAGGAAGTTCCTTGAGTAGATCAACAATGTCATTAGAAGAGGAGGATAAAAGAATTACGCTATCTTTTTTGGTTGATTAAAAAGGGAAGGAAATTAATATATCGATTCAACATACTGTAATTTTAATTGTACCTGTTTGAAACATGCCACAGGATAGTAAAGCGCGAATACTGAATAAGGCGATGAAGAAAAGAATGATGGAACTTAAAAAGATTTGAACGACACCTGGCTTTTGACGTGCTTTGTAAGCTCTTTGTTTTTCATGAAAAAATACAAGTTTATCAGACCCCAATAGTTTATCACATTTGGCTCTTAACCAAGATGTTGTACGCGTGTCAAGTTCCGAAGAAGGGGCAATAGATGAATAAGATTTTCGATGGGCAGGATCTACATCCAGCCTATGATATTTGTGATCCATTCTGTTACAATGGAAGATTTTCTTTAATTTTTTTATAAAGGAAAAGAGAGAGAGAGAAATAGATATTTCATTTTTTAAAAGAGGGGGGGAAATGAAGGGAAATATTTATAAAAGGTTCTAACGTCTGTTTACTTGTTTATCCCAATTGAAACAAGTTTACAACGCTGTTTGATAGAAGAATATTCCCTTTTTTTTTTGTATGTTGTTATTGTACTCGAAAAAAGAAAACAAACAATACAAATGCATAATACTGTTCTCTTTTAGAAGGTAGCCTGATGTAAATAGTTTGGGAAATTGCACAACAAGTAATAGAGAATTCGGTACCGTTTTTTTTTTATAAATGTTACACATCCTGTTACCTGCCAACCAACTTTTTTTTTTTTTTTTTTTTTTTTTTTTTTTTCATTAGCTATTATTGTTTCTTTTGCAACGGGTTAACTCTTTTTGTATAAAAAAGAATGACCCAGTGTTTTTTTTTCTCTTTGTCGAGTCTAACTAACCTCCGTTTTTAAAATTTATATATTTTCGCTCTTTATTCAATTAAATGAGGTTCTCTCTTTTCATGAATTAAGTAGAGACATAAAAGATAGGTTTAAACGCCCTGACTCCCGTGACAAAAAAAAAAAAATAGTTTTCTAAACATGTTGTTTGTCCGGATTTTAGATGCAACCTTTTTTTTTTCGAGAACCTTCATTGACGGCTGAACGTGAACACAAGGATTGTTGTTAAACTAAAGTAAACAATAATCACAAAACAAAAAATTGTGATACACTCTCTGAGCCCGCCCTGTTAACTCTTTTTTATTATTTTTTTTATTTCTGTATCAATGATAAGGATGTGTAACCAATGATTATCACTTAACCCATTGTGTATAAATTCCTTCTCGACAGAACACATGCTAATAATAATAATAATAATAAAAAAAATTAGGCAGTGTTATTAAGCTCCAGATGTTATTTGTTAGCTGTCCCCTCACAAATGTTTAAATGGGGCTGTCTTTGTCACAATCAAATTATTTATACTACTAGATGAGATTCTTATAGACTTAATTCCTAATAAAATTATATTTTTGCATTGATAGACTACTTGTAACATCTGGAACCCTTTTTTTCTATATATATAAAAAACTAGAAGAGAAAAAAACTCGAAAGAGGCGTTTGTAGTAGAAATCCAAGAAGTGTTTAAAGAGTTCAAGCTAGTAAAGAAAGCTACATATCTTAAATAACAGCTTCATGTTGTTATCCGGAACAAGAGAGAGAGAGAGCTTAAAAAGATAAATAACCCCTAGTTCCACAATCATTGGAGCTAATCCTATTATTTTAACTGAAGTGAACAATGTCTTTTCAAAAAATTGTTCGTTTTATCACTCTAGAATTGACATTGATTAAAATACATTTTAATGCAAAAACTCGCTCGTGTGTAACAACAAGCCATATTATTATTGGCTGCAACAATATATATATATAAATGTTTAAAGGAATTTATAAACGTACTCTTGTACCTTTTTAATATTTTTAATCAAGCTACCTATTAGATTGAATTTACATGAAAAAGTCATTCATTACACCAAGAATTTATAACCGCCGGTTTTTATTTTTTTTAAATACGGACATTGTTGCGATTTAAGTTTGGAATAGAAATTAAGATCAAATCAAACAAAGTACTTTGAGACTGTTTCTAAAAATTCATTAAGCGTCGAAGTGGATTTAAAGATGGAGAGGGTTCTATATTCTAACTATCAGTTTGCATCTTTGTCTAATAAGAGAAATCGGATTATGAATTTAGTTTGACGGATTCGTTACACAGCATTAAAATAGTGCTTGTAGATGAATACGATAAATGTATAGGATGATTGATGAATGAGATTGATTTAGTATCGACTTTTGGTGGTTTTTACTAAAAAATTATGCGGATTACTACAGTTGTCCTCGAGAATAGATTTTCACAGATAGAATTTGGTGATGTTCACCTCTTCTGTCCGCCCGGAGAAATAAAAAATTATTTCGTTTAAATAGGTTTTCGGGTGGAGCTTGCTACTCAGGAAGGTCTGTCAAAAAAAAAAAAAAAAAAATATCAGTGCTATGTTGACATCGTTCAGAAGAAACAAACTTACTTTCATAAAATAAGGCGTATTGTCTGATGAGATTGGCTTTGCGAGATTTATAGTTCATGTTCATAATAAAAACGAATAATAAATAAAGGAAAAAAAGACTTACTTTAAATAATGAGCAGGAGCTGATATAATAGCAAAATAAACACGGGTTTTTAATGCATTAGTATGTCTAAATCAGGACAATGTATAAAATATAAACTAGCTTTTCACAGGAATATTCTTTTGTTATGGCGGGGTTGAACCTGAAAAAAAAAAAGCACAATAAATCTATAATTCATGTTACATTGATATTTTAGGAGCTTATTCACAGGACAATACATTTTATTTTATGGTGAGTATAAAGTAATAATATGGCTTACTAAATCCATAAACATGTAAAAATAAAATAGCTGTTTCTTATATATATATATAAAAAAAAGCGGGTACACGCTTATAAAAGAACAACAACAAATACACTGCGACTTTTACCTTAAATTTTCCTCATTATATAGGAGTCTACCCAAAGCTTTAAATGGTTTAGTCATTGACAGCGAAAAACTTATTGAACAAGAAAGAAATGTTTTGAGCCATGATTCAATGTAATAAGCTGCCATACAACCTTATTAAAAATCGAAAAAAAGCGCCCGTACTTTATGGTAATTTTTAGCAATAACAGTAAGATGGTAAGGCGTGCCTACGGAACCTACAATACCAAGCATCTTTCAGCGAGCAAAATGGAGATTTAATGCGTCGGGTTAAGTCAATACACTGTGTCATAATTTGAAGGCAAAAGGGAAGTTTTAAAGATAAACAAGACTCCTTCATCCCATACTATTTCAATTAATTTCCTGCGTAAGTTGAATTAGCATTACTGGAGAACTGGTTTTATAAACCAGTAACATTATAAATAAGTACATATAACTCTAGTTATAAATCTTTGGAATTTCTAGGAGAGAAATCTTATTTTGTCCAGCATTTGACAAGTAAATCCAATCAAGTAGTAACTGAACACGACCAAAAAAAAAAAAAAATCAATATCTTTTACAGGAATGTTACTCCTGTCACAGGTACACTTGATTAATCATAAAATAAAAACAAGGAAAGCAATGACATACTATGGCCCCTTTTCCTATTTTTACACCCTCGCGGGGAAATATTTCACCGAAAATTACACCCTCGAGATTACACCCTTTTTGCCCCGCACCGCTTTTGGGGTGCGGGGCAAAAAAAAAACCCCCCGCCACCCTCTATTTTCCTTCCCTCAGCCATTTTAAAGAAATTTCTTTACAAGCATGACCAGAATAAAATAGTAACTACTACCTCTGAGGAATCGTTGAAAAGAATTGAATCTTAATAAAACGTATGACGAGAAAATACGACCAACTTACAAATCAGGCAAAGAACCAGCAGTGACGTTTGACAGATCTGTATATTCAGTGTAAAGACAACGATAGTGAAAAGCATAATACCAATGACTTGGAGAATGTATGTGATATGGAACTCACATTGTTCCTCTTGTGTCTGTTATTTTTAGGACTTTTCAGCCATTGTTACAACATTATGAGTGTCGAAATGTTGCTGCTTTCTTATCTCGATAGTAACCAGGAAGTTAAACAATACTGTCTTGTTTTGTGTCTGAAGCAATAAACGAGACCAAAATGCTAAAAAAAAAAAGGGGTGGGGGTCCCACATTATTTTGTAAGTAACGATAGCGTTATCTTGCTTTTTTTTTTACCAGCAAAGAAATATAAATCCCTTTGCTTGTCCTCCGATATAATTGACCTCATCTTAATATGGTCACTCTTCTTTTTAGCAGTAACTTGAGTTGACTACCTTAAGCCTTGTGCTCAATGTCACAAGTGTTATATAATAGTCATTGCCCTCTTTTTCTTAATGTCAACCAGTAGAAGTGCTGCCTTAATACTTTTACTGTCTATAGTTACTTTTGACATACTTTGTGGCGTTTTTGTGGCGTTTTACTTTTTCTTTCTGCCTTGACAGACCCTATTTTCATAAATCTATTACAGAATCTCCGCAGTAAACGCTAAAAATAATTATTATAGTATGTTGACATTTTTTAACCTTCTTTTAAACCAAAACAAGTGTTGATGCTCATTCGTTTACAATGTGAATCAAGTTCTTTGGGCACAGTCTGGGGCAGAAGGGGGGTGGGCCAAGTGTTTCACACACGGTGTGACTCGTTTTTCTCATACTATAAGATTTTTTTTTTTTTTTTTTTTTTTGGCTACAATTTTTTTTTTGTTTTTCCGTATTCTTTTTTTTTTATTTTTTTTTTTTTAAGAAAAAGCACAAAGCACTCTATTACTATGGCTAAGTTTCAACTTCACGGTCGCTTTAATAATAATAACAACAACAACAGCCAACAAGGCAAGCCTTACAACCGAAACAATAACAATGACCGCTCCTTCAACCGCCAAGGAGGAGGAGGAGGATATAATAACAAGCAGCAGCAGCATCAAAAGCAGCAGCAGCAGCATCAAAAGCATCGCTTGCAACCACAGCACCACCGTCAACAACAACAACCTCAACGACATAATCACGGTAAAAAGAACCGAGTTGTAAAAGAGGTGCCTATCAACCACAGTATCAAAGGACCTTTATTTGACAAGTCCCGACTTTATCCTAGTTGGAAATTTAAACGTTCCGTTGGTCCCGGCTTTATTAATGGACACAACACATGTTTCTTAAATTCAGTGCTCCAATGCCTTACTTATACACCACCCTTGGCTCAATATCTCTTAAAAGGAGAACACACAAATAATTGTAAAGTATCAAACTACAACTTTTGAAAAAGTAACAAAAAAAAAAAAAAATCGATAATTAAGGTGATACAATTATTTAACCCAAAAAAAAAAAAAAAAAATTGTGTAGGTCGCTCGGACGGTTATTGTGCTTTATGTGCCATGGAAATTCATATCATGCGTTGCTTTAAAGACCCAAAGAGCTTTACCAAAAACGCAGCTATTCTTCCTAGTTACTTTACTAGTAATTTACGCAGTAAGTGATTGTTTTCTTACAGAGAGAAAGAGAGAGAGAGAAAAATATTAATTTTTTTTTTTTTTTTTTTACATAATAGCCATTTCAAAGACTTTACGATTGGGTCGTCAAGAAGACGCACATGAATTTTATATTCTTTTATTATCTGCCTTCCAAAAAGGTTCTATCGCTGGTTTAGGGTAAAGAAAAAAATATATATATTATATGTGCAGTAATGAAAAAAAGCTAAGCCACTCACATATGCTCTCGATTTTTTTTTTATTTTTTTATTTTTTTTTTTATATTTTCTAGCAAATTACCTCCCAAAGTGGAGGAAACCACACTTATTCATCAAGTGTTTGGTGGTAAACTTCGCTCACAGTTAAAATGTTACAATTGTAACGCAACTTCCAACAATTACGAAGCGTGTTTAGACTTGAGTGTCGACCTCAACAACAATGCCAACACACTTGAAGATACCTTAAATAATTTTATCAAGGTGGATCAAATCGATGGCTATAAGTGCGACACGTAAGTGATTAATTAAATATTTAAAAAAAAAATGACTGATAGAAACAAAAGTACTCACCCCCTTTTTTTTTAATAGTTGTAAGCAAACAGTAAAGGCAGGCAAACAAATGACAGTGAATGAGGCCCCTCTCATGCTCACAGTGCATTTAAAGCGTTTTGCCTTTGATTTACATACAGGTAATATGCGTAAAATCAGCAAGCACGTCGAGTTTTCGGAGACCTTGGATTTGGCACCTTGCATGAGTAAAGACAAGTTAGAGACCAACAGTAACACAAGCTACTCCCTTTATGCAGTGCTTGTGCATTACGGATATGGTTGTAGCTCTGGTCATTACTACGCCTTTGTGAAGAATACCAACGGGTTATGGTACTGTATGGACGACGAATCCGTGCAACCCACTACATTGAACGAAGTACTCAAGGAGAATGCTTACATGCTCTTCTACCAACAAAATGTAGCATCCCTTAGTACATCATCCGATAAGATACCAACACCACCAACACCATCGTCGCCACCTGTTGTAAAAGAACTGGATATTCAACCACCTCCTGTGGTGATGCCCAAGAAGGCCATCAAGGATACAACACAGGTGAAGAAAACACCCAAGGACAAGAAGAAAAAGAAGCAGTCGGAGGAAGTGGACGAGATGGAGGAAACAAAGGACACAAGAAGAGTCGTGATTGAACGTGTCATGGCAGATTCACCTGACGCCTGGTACACACAATCGGCAGACAAACCACACCGTTCGCTTCGTGGTAATATGTCACCACCCACCTATGGTGCTGCTGTCAGTGATGCTACCTCTTGGACCATCAACGATCTTCATGATTACGTGTCAAAGATCAAATCAAAGAAGAGACGCGTCTTTAGAAAGAATTTGGAAGCAAGGAAGACCGATTGGACTGTCAAGCCTTACTAAAGACAGTATATAACAAATAGAGACAATGGGAAGGGAAGGAGGGATTTTAGATATTGGTTTTTTTATATATATATCTCTACAACAACAACAACAACAACAACAACAACAACAACAACAACAACAACAACAACATCAACAACATCAACAACAACAACAACAACAAAAGAAAATATTTTTTTTTAGTAAAATAAAAGTTACTATTTTAATTGCGGATCATGAAGAAGAGGGTTACGTTCGAGATCACGGTCTATTGGAGTGGTAGTGGATGGTGCTAAACTAAAAGTGGTCACACTGACAATCACAAGAGCATAAGCCATTGGGTAAAAAGGAGGCATAGTGGCATCCAAAAAGAAAAGTCCCACCACCAGTGAATAGAAATTGCTTGTGATTAAACTCATACTGAGAAATGTAGCACCTACCATACGATACACTGTTGGCACAAGTGAATACATGCAAAATAAGCACACTACGTATGTAGACACTAATGACACTTAGGGCAGACGCAAAAAAAAAAAAAAAGTTTAATTTTGTGTGTGTGTGTAGTAGTAGTAGTAGTAGTAGTAGTAAACAACTTACGCACTGGCCATGACCATGTGATTTGGATCACCGAATCGTATTCAAAATAGAACCTAAGTTAAAAAAAGGTCATTTTAGTGTACATTAAACAACAGAAATGTTTATAAACGAACGCTTGAATTCCACAAATAAGACTTCCCCAACACCCTGCTTTTCCCAGAAATTCAGTAGATGTATGGTGTTTCACCAAATGTTCTTCTGTCACGTTACTAATTGCATACAAGGTTGCACTAGATAACTAATGATAATGATCTATGATGTGAGCACTTTTCTTTGAACAAAGTGTGATAATCCAAAAAAAAAAAAATGATTTTGACTTACACAAACGATATCACCAAACCAACTATGGTTCACTACAATTCAAAAAGGGAGGCATTAACATCATACGAAAGAGAGAGAGAGAGAGAGAGAGAAAAACTATTTACTGGTTGTGTCTTCATGACCCATGGTGTCACCCCAGATCAACATGCCTAATCCAATTAAACAAACGACGGCACTTTGGACGTGAATTTTACTATATTTGGCATCTAGAAACCATGTTGACAGTAACATGATGCATGGGATAGACCATGAGGATAAGACCAAGGCAGATAGCACAGAGGTATTTTTAAAGGCAAGTACGGCCAATACGTTGGCTTTTTTTTTATAATACGAATTAAAAAAAAAAAAAAAAAATCTGTCAAAAATGTAATCTTTTTACCTTGTACGTCTGCAAAAGAAAACCCCAAGACTAGAAAAAGACAAGTTAACATGACAGCTATATAAAGTGAGTGTGTGTGTGTGTGTGTGTGTTTACATTGGAAAGAAATGCGGTTGTAATGGTGGCTGCGATGGTGAGTGAATAAGAGAGGTATGAAAAAGTAGATCGATGCTAATAAAAGGTAATTACAAAAATTCTGGGTGAAGGGTATGCTAATGTTATAATGCTTCCATAATGCGGACGATGCAGAACTTGTGCCGGTTATACATAGTGATAGTAACTGACCCAAACCCACTGCCACTATTGTTTTCCTTTTAGGTATAAGCATAGTATTTTTTAAATGTATGTGAAAGAAAGACGAAGGATAGCTATTTATTATTCTTGTTATTATATACAGTAGCCAAAAAAAAAAAAAAAAAAAAAAAAAAAACTTTTTTTTTTTTTAAGCCCTTAAAAAAATAGTTTACATTGAAAGGAAGAATTTGTGAATTAAGGGTTGTATTTCAGATACGGGACCAATGGTCACGACATGTCCAGATTCCGTCTTGTAGAATAGATAATCCACACCACGCACACGTCTTTTATGCACTGGATTATCGGGTCGTACGTAGCTACTGTTGATCGCATCATCATAGTCTTTGGGATTACCATAGGTTGTACTTGTTCCATTCTGACCACGAATAATAACTCGGTTCGGTTTGTTTTGGACCAATAGAGATCCCTTGTCCATCAATGTATTTACCTTTTGTGCTGTCTTGGTGAGGAATAATCCTTCAGGTTGCTTTTTAGCAAATGCGGGGGATTGTCCATTCTTATTATTATTGGTAGTAGTAGCAGTATGGGTAGTGGGTTGTCGTGTAGGGTTAGATGTACCTACGCCAATCATGGGTGGTCGTACATTAGTGGGTATACCTACGCCAATCATGGGTGGACGTACATTGGTAGGAATGCCAATCATGGATGGATTTGGAGTAGTTGAATTAGGTCTTTTGGGTGGTTTAGGTGGATGTGTCATTTCGTTTCTTAATGAAGAAGAAGAGGAAGGTTTTGTTTTTGTGTCATTCTTCCTGCTGCTAGTATCATTCCCCGAACGAGGAGATGCATCTGTCTTCTTGTCTGATTTATCCTCTCTTCTTGTTGGTATGTCTTTTTCGGGTATGCTACTACTACTTTTAGATGAAGTCCCGCTTCTTCTCTTGTGTGGTGAATCGTCTCCTTTGCGTGGTGAAGCGTCTCTTTTGCGTGATGAATCATCTCTTTTGCGTGGTGAATCATCTCTTTTGCGTGATGACTCGTCCCTTCTTGATGAATCACTTCGTCTTAATGATTCGTCTCTTCTCGATGACTCGCTTCGTCTTAATGATTCATCTCTTCTCGATGACTCGCTTCGTCTTAATGATTCATCTCTTCTCGATGACTCGCTTCGTCTGGATGATTCATCCCTTCTCGATGACTCGCTTCGTCTGGATGATTCATCCCTTCTCGATGACTCGCTTCGTCTGGATGACTCGTCTCTTCTCGATGAATCGTCTGTTCTTCTTGAGTTGTCCTTCTTATAGGGTGAATTGTCTCTTTTGGGTATGTCGCTCCTTCTCTTTGAATCCTCTCTTTTATGCGATGAGTCCTCTGTTCTGCGTGATGAGTCCTCTGTTCTGCGTGATGAGTCCTCCCTCCTGTGTGATGAGTCCTCCCTCCTGTGTGATGAGTCCTCCCTCCTGTGCGATGAATCCTCTCTCTTGGGAGAATCTTGTGATTTACGCTTTTTAAGGTCAGATGGATCCTCTAAGCGTCTTCTCTTTCCATTGTGGACGGGTGGAGAAGTAGAAGATAATCTTGATTTGGATGCACGTTCTTTGACTGGATCCCATAATTCTGGAGGAAGTGTCTCCATTTCTTCTCTCTGTAATTTTTGTAATTGTGCCATTTGTTGTGAGTGTGATTCCTCCATTTGAGCAAATCCATCTTTGTATTTTTTCTATTATTATTATTGAAAACACAAAAAGTTTTAAGGGGGTTATGTGGGTTAAACTCTATTTTGATTGTTCTTTTTTTTAGATTACTTACTGCTAAAATCTCTGAATCTTCCTGACGTCTTTTCTCAGCTTCTTGGTCTTTATGTTTTTTATGATTGATGACTATTGCATTCTCAGCGGGGAGACTGGATAAAAATGCCAGAACGTCTGCTATTTCTTGACTGTGCTCTGCCAAGAAATCTGATCCGCTGATAAATTCACAGTCATTGGTGCTGGTGGAAGGTGATTGATTCATGGATATATCGTCCCCTTTTTGTACACTGAAGGAGCGTTGGTATTCGGCAATTTCAGCTACTTGTTGTACTTGTAGACGCTTCCATTGACGTGCATGTTTATTTTTCATTAATTTATAGAGTTTCTGTGGGTTTGCACTGCCTTTAGGTGTATCTGCTGGCAGGTATAAATCTTGTTGACTATAATTATGCATGAATTAGAAATTACAAGAGGTCTCAAAGTAATTACAAATTTTATTAATGTTCTCATTGGTTTTCGTCTCCTTACTTCATGTCTGCCTCTGTTTCCAGATAAACCCAATATAGACTACTGTCTTTAGACATGTATATAAAACTTTGAAAGGTTTAAAGAAGAAAGAAAAAGAAAAAATAAAAAAATCCCACACACACACCCCCCCCATATTTATACAAGCCACCCCCAAAATAGAAACTCTTGTCAACTTTTTTTTTTTTTGGTGGTTTCACAAGGACAAAGTACGCGTTTTTGCATTGACCGTGTTTTTTTTTTTCTGGGCAGACGATAAGTTTTTTCTTTCGCACCTAAAAAGCATGTGGGGCATGATTGATTATATCTTTACTGTGAGGTATCTTTTATGCTCCTAAATCATGTATTAAAATACACGCGTCTAGAAATCACTCGCTAAGAAAATAGGCTTTCTTCACTTATCAGAATGAAAGGAGATGCTGCGAGAGGGAAATTTATTTTTTGTAGGAGAGAAAATAAAAAATAAAAATATGCGGCACTGAGGTTACACGGACAGTTTTTTCTATAGAACGTATGATTGGTCCAATTGATGATGATCTTTTTTTTTTTTTCTCTCCGGGTATGAATTTTCATTGTTGGGGAGGATTGACCAAACGGACTAAGATAGATTTGGATGAATTTAACAAAAAAAAAAAAGAAACAAAAAAATGTTGGTGACTTACGGTAAAAGTTAAAGGCGACGGCAATAATTAAAAAGATGCACAAAACGGTAGGACCCACACGATCGTCGTACGGAGCAGCTTCTCTATTTCTAATCTTGGTGGCACGCCAATGAAAGGTGTACAAAGCATAAAGCATGACAAACATGGAAGTAACAATAAATAGCATAGCAGATAATCGACTGATACGATCACCGAAATTCAGTAATCCCATGGCAAGTCCACCTAATACCACTGTGAAATTTAACCAGCTGAGAAATGTGCGTTCATTGGCGAAAAAAACCTTGGGTTCAACACGTACTGGAAGTGCAATTCTTTTACCCGTAGGCTCTAACAGTGCTTGTGATGATGACATTATATAAGAAAAAGAAGAAGAAAGAGTATAATAATTAATAAAATAAAAATCTTGCCGAGATATGTAAAACCCTCATTATCCGAGTCAGTCTCTCTATTCTCTCTCTCTCTCTCAGCGGAGACCCAAACCTTACTCTAAATCACGCCATTCGCCTTTTTCCCCCAGTGTAAGATGTCATTTATATATTAGACTAGAGATAAATAAATCAACTCTCTTGATTGAATTGGGAGGAAAGAAAGTCTATTATAAGCATACTTTCCTCTTTACTTGGCAAGTTGACCTCAATGAGAATTACTCCGACGCATTCTTTTTTTTTTTTTTTTTTATATATTTTTATAAACCGACAGGGTGTTACGTAACAGACTCAAGTGTAGAAACAGATCGCGTGGAAAACACAATAAAAGGTAGATGAATGTGAGCTATGGGTAGAACAGAAAAAAAGCAGTCATTCGTCAGTAAGCATTACTTGTGTGTGTGTGTTCAAATAAAGAGTAGCCATAGCTGCGTATGTGTGTGTGTGTGTGTGTGTGTGTGTGGCTTGGTGAGTCATTTTTCACACTCCTTCGGAGGTGGGGGGAGGGAGGGGGGAAGGAAAAGAAGGAACTGAATAGGGTCATAACGCTTTCTCTTTCTCCCTCCTCCTTTTTTTTTTTTCTTTTGCAGTAAAAATACACACACCCTCCTAATAAGCCCATGACTTCACCTATACAACCGCCTCCAAACATACGGTAAATATAATTTTCGTACCAGAAACCATGAAAAAAAAATAAGATATCTCAGCCATGTTGTACTTGTATTTTTCCTAACATTGGGGGTTTGAAAACCTGCTTACCTTCTTTCCTTTTTTCTTTCTTTTGTTGTAAATTACAATTGCATAGGTCACCTTCTGTTAGTCAGTCACAACAAGCGAGTGTACGGGCACCTTCTCCTTATTCTCATCATCTTCCTCCACCTACTAATTTAGTACAAGCATTTCCAAGCACGGCGACTAATAATAATAATAATAATGGTTCAGTTCGAGTGGTAGGTGAATTACCTTCCCTTCTTTCGTCACCTCGTAGCTCTTCACCCTCTTTCAATCCTCAGCAACATCATAGTAATTTGACAAATGGACATGAACATGGTCCTCCCGTCTTACCACCTATGCCATCACGTACTTCCACTCCACCTTATAACGAACGTCGCATCAGTATTGTTCGACCTCCTTCACAACCACCCAACCCTACTCCACCTCCACCTACTGCACCTGTCACGACCTCTTCACCTGGTCCCACTTCTGCTTCTGCTGCTGCTGCTTCTTCTTCTTCTGCTGCTGCAACTACCGGTGGTGGTGGCGGAGGCGGAGGATATCGACCCTTGAATGTGAGAGATGCACTGACCTATCTTGATCAAGTCAAAGTAAGATTTTCGGACCAACCCGATGTATACAATCGATTTCTAGACATCATGAAAGACTTCAAGAGCCAGGCGTAAGTGTGTATATATTTATATAAATTAAAAAAAAACCAAAAAAAAAATTTATATATATGTGTATATACAAGAAAAAAAAAAAAAAAACTGACTTCCGTCGGCATTTAGGATTGATACACCTGGCGTGATTGAACGCGTCTCAACTTTATTTAAAGGTCATCCAACATTAATTTCGGGATTTAATACATTTCTTCCACCGGGTTATCGTATTGAATGCTCTACAGATCCTCGTGAACCAGATTTAATTACAGTCACAACACCCAGTGGTGTTACCACTACAACCGGTCGAATTCATCATCCGGAAATGAATCCACATCATCATCATTCACAACAACAACAACAACAGCATCATTCACATCATGCTGGCCCACTATCTCATCCACCACCACCACCACCACCACAACAACAACCTCCACCACCACAACCTTATTATCCTTATATGCATCCATCCGCTTCAATGCATATGCCTCCTCCTCCACCTCCTCCCCCATCTCAACAACATCAGCAGCAACAACAGATGATGCCTCAACCCAATTATCATCATCCACCACCTCCTCCTCAGCAGCAACAACCTTTACCTCCTCCACCTCCACCTCCTCAACAACAACAACATCAACAGCATCATAGTCCTCCTACGACAGAAAAAAGATCGCCTGTTGAATTCAATCATGCCATCAATTATGTGAATAAAATCAAGGTAAAAAAAAAAACATGTATAAAAAAAAAAAAAATTGGGAAATCCTCGACTCACACACACTATTTAAAAGAACCGTTTCTCGAGTGATCCCGACATTTACAAACAATTTTTAGAAATACTTCAAACGTATCAAAAGGACCAAAAGCCCATCCAAGAGGTATATCTATATTATATAGAAAAAAAAATGATAGTGTGTATATATGTATGCGAATATAGGCTAACCTCTACCATCATAAAAAAAAGGTGTATGCGCATGTTCAATTTTTATTTAATGGTGCACCTGATTTATTAGATGAGTTCAAACAGTTTTTACCGGATATTACAGGACAACCCGCTAGTGTTTTATTCGATACCATCTCACCCACCTATTACAGCAGTTCGAAACGAGCGGGTGGGACACCACCACCGAACCATGCGGGTGGTAAAAAGAAGCGCGTCACCAATGTAAGTATTTCCCCCCCAAAAAAAAAAGTGGATATATAGGAGAGAGGAACCGGGGATATTCATCCTTATCTATCTACATATAGACGAATAAGAAGGCCAAACTATATCAAGCTAAAGAAGAGACAACCTCTTCATCCTCCATGCGAGACCCTTATAGTTATCCCAATTCACCATTTGACCCTGTACGTCCCTCGGTCTCGGCGGAAGAGATCGAGTTATTTGAACGTATTCGTAAACATATCGGTAACAAGCCCTCGTACGAAGAGTTCCTCAAGACATTAAACTTGTACACACAACAAATTCTGGATTTGAACGGTCTGGTAGAGCAAGTGGCCATCTTTATTGGTAACAATAAAGAGTTGTTTGATTGGTTTAAGAGTAGTGTAGGCTATGAACCTCAGGAACACCCTATTGAAAAACCAACACATCCTTTACCTAAACCTGATCTTGCTCATTGTAAAACAACCGATCAAAGTCCTAGTTACCGATGTGTCCCTAAAAACGTAAGTTGGCCGGTTTTTTGTGCCCTCCCCCCCCCCTTTTTTTTTTGATTTTTCTTTTTACTAAAATATAAGTTTATTTTCTGTGTATGTACACACACCTTTTAGTGGCAGTCGCAACCGTGTTCGGGTAGAGATCAGATCGCATGGGAAGTACTCAACGATGAATACGTGTCACATCCCATTTGGGCCAGTGAAGATGATGGATTTGTCGCGTCCAAGAAGAGTCAATATGAAGAAGCCATGCATCGTTGTGAAGAGGAACGATACGATTATAATATGAATATTGAAGCCAACTTGAACGTGATTGCACTTTTGGAACCCATTGCACGTCGTATTGAACAAATGACACCAGAAGAAAAGACGAATTTCAGATTGAGACCTGGGTTAGGAGGTCAATCAGTTACAATCTATGAACGTATTATTAAGAAAGTCTATGATAAAGAAAGAGGTACAGAGATTATTGAATTGTTGTATACCAATCCTGCTCAAGTGGTGCCTATTGTTTTGAGACGGTTAAAACAAAAAGATGAAGCATGGAAACGCGCACAGGTAAAAAAAAAAACTTGAAGGAAAAAAGGGGGAAGAAAGTAAAACTAAAAAAGAAAGATGATTCATAGCGAGAGTGGAATAAAATATGGCGAGAATTGGATGCAAAGAACTTTTATCGAGCATTGGATTACCAAGGGATTACATTCAAGAGCAACGATCGTAAAGCAATGGCACCAAAAGCACTTGTGAGTGAAATTGAAACATTACACCATGAAAAGAAATTGAAACGAGGTGAAAAATATGTGCATACCAAAGAACCTTATCAATATCAATTCCAATTCAAAGACCCACAAGTGTATAAAGATGTGACACGTGTGATTTATTCATTTATTGATCGACAATCGGGGTATTCCAGTAGTGACCGAGAAAAGATTCGTACGTTTATTCAAACATTTATCCCACTTTGTTTCCAAGTACAGGATGTGGTACCTGAAGGTATGTCACATTACACTGATGAGGTAGAGGAAGAGGAGATGGCAGAAGAGGATGACGATAATCATTCAACCAATACGGAAGAATCTGAATCAGATGTTGGAAGATCCTCACCCAGAAAACGTAGTATGTCCCCTTCACGTCGACGATCCGGAAGAAGCTCACGTAATCATCATGAGGATGAACATACCATGGATCTATTACGAGATGTCCTTACCAAGAATCAAAATGCCTTAGATGTTCATTCTAATGGTGGTGCTGCTGATCGATCCAGATCTCCTTCCTTGTCCACCCAAGAGGAGAATAACGTCAAAACAGAGGAAAAAGCCCAAGATTTAACAGCTCAAGTCATCTCGACCTTGACAGAAGGTTTCTTATCTTCCGCAACAGCACCTTCACTGGCCCAACAACAACAACCACAGGAAGAAGGGGATCGATTGTTTGCAGCTGCTGCAGCAGCAATTGCACCTGATGTCAAGAAAAGAGTCCTTTACAGCTTCTTTTGTAACACAACCTTTTACTGTTTCTTCCGACACTACGAGGTAAGAAAAAGAGGGAAGAAAAGAGAAATGCGTTTATATATATATATATGATACTTAAACGAGGATATATATATATATAACTAGATGCTGTATGAGCGACTTTGCAAGATTCGTGAGTTAAACCAACAGATGGAAGAGCACCCAAACATGGGTAAACGAGTGAATAAGGTTGCACGGGATTTAGGATTGTACAGTAGCCGATTTGATGATGTGGATGTACAAAACGGATATTATAACGCTGTATTGGATATGATTGATCGATTCTTTGATGGAGATATTGATCAACAAGTCTTTGAAGAACATTCACGGTATATCTTTGTGACGGATGCTTACTTGATTTTTACGATTGATAAATTAGTGCATTGCATGGTGAAACAAATTCAGGCGATTACAGTGGATCCTAAATCGGTGGAATTGATTCGATTGTTTCGTAGTGATAAAGGTGTGGAGTCTATGTCACCTAGAATTCTCTCTGTCTATCGTTTGAGAGCTGAAGATATTGTTGGACCTGATGAGAATCTGTACAAGATCAATTTTGTAAGTCCCCCCCCCCCCCCTTTTTATATATATATGCTTGTATAGTAGAGGGTTGATTAACACTGTGGAATTGATAGGATAATGAGGCAAAGAATATGACGATTCAGTTGATTGGAAAAGACGATTACATGTTGGAACCCACAGCGGAGGATCGATACCAAGATTATGTTGCCAGTTATATGGATTGGGTGAATACAACAGAAGGAATTGAAGCCTCACAGATGAAGCCCACATTTTTGACGCGGTAAAAAAAAAAAAAAAAGTCGAATTCATTTTATTCTGGGTGTAGACTGATATGTGTTTTTATATATATATATAGCAATTTGAGACCGCAGGACGAACATTTAAACAAGATCTTTGTGCGATCTAAATTACAATACAAGATTGATCAAGAGACATATCATATGTATTATATTGTAGGATCTGAAGATATCTTTGTTCGACCTCATTCGAATAATACAGTGAGATCCAGTCGACCATGGCATCAATGGATTGAATCCCCGACCACAGGTTGGTCAAAGCATTTGGATGAACCTACCAAACTTGCCATGGAGCAAGAAGCAAGGAATTTGCTCTCTTAATCTTTTTCTTTTTTTTTTTCTTCTATATATAAAAAAAAAGCTATATCTTATCCCCCCCCTACCCTTTCACCTTTTCTTTTTTTTCTTCTCTCTCTTTTTATATACTCGTTTCTTCTTCTTTTTTTTTTATATATATAATTGACAATAAATGATTAGATTCTCATAATCCAAAAAAAAAAAACTACTGAGAGCTGTCAGTGAAAACAGAGTGTGGGAAATAAAGCGGAGCAATAAAAAGATGGCAAGCTTAAAAAAAAAAAAAAAAAAATGGTGGTCAAAGGAATTCTTGCTTTATCTTGTGTACGTCAAAAAGAAGAAAAAAAATCCTAGTGTCTATGGGGACGGTATGAGTCATAGAAAAAAAAAAAAAGTGAAAAGAAGCCTAGGAAAAAAAAAAAGAAAAAGAGAAATAAAAAGAGTGGGGGGCGCAGATTTAAAAAAAAATAATAATATAAAGTCACAAACGTTTTCGAGGCATAAAGGAGCCCTGCTTCTGTCAAGGGTATTTTTTTTCCTTTTTTTTTTTTTCCCGTATATATATTTTTTATAAGAAAAAGATGCTCTCTGTTGCTGTATTTAGAAACGCTGCTGCTTTATCCGTTAGACGTAGTGTAGGTATGACTGCTGTTACTCGTCGTGCTTATACCACCACGGGTGGCGAAACCGAAACACCCAAGGAAGAAACGGCTAAAGTGGAAGTTGAATTAAGTGAAGAAGTGAAAAAGATGTTGGCTGAAAAGGATAAGCAGATTTCTGAACTCAAGGTAAAGAAAAAAAAAAAAGAAAAGAGGAGGGAAAGTGAGCGATCATTGTTAAGTAACAACGGGAAATCATGGTATAGGATGCTTACCTTCGTTGTCTTGCCGACCAAGAAAACGTACGTGAACGTAGTCGTAAAGAGATTTCAACCACCAAAGAATTCGCGATTCAAAAGTTTGCCAAGGACTTGTTAGATACGGTGGATATTTTAAACATGGCATTGACAGCTGTACCTGCTGATTTACGTGAAAAGAGCAGTGTTGCAGAAATTACCAAGGATGCTGAGAAAGTGTTTGATCAGTTAACAAATTTGTATACAGGTGTGTCGATGACCGAATCAGAATTGGTGAGAGCTTTAAAACGTCACGGTGTCGAACGTGAAGACCCTCAAGGTGATGCCTTTGATCCCAATAAGCATCAAGCTCTTTTCCAAACTCCTATGCCAGGTAAAGAAGCAGGTACCATTTTTGCTGTTCAAAAGATGGGTTATTCCTTGAAGGGTCGTGTGCTTCGTCCTGCTCAAGTTGGTGTCGTTGCTGAATCTCAGTAAAATACCTTTCCTCTACTGTAATATCCCCCCCCCCCCCTCCCTCCCTTCTCTTCTCTCTCTTTTAAAGTTTTAAAAAATAAATAACCGCTTGTAATAAAAAAAAAAGTGTATTATACAGTCCTAATCTACATGAATATAGCTAATGTAAAAGTTCCTTCGTTTCGAATCACGATTTGACTACAAAATAAAAAAGAAAGAGTCAGTTTATAACATATGACAGTAGCATGAGTATGCGCATATTTTTTTTTTTACTTGTTTTCGTATTCGACGTTCATGGTAGGACATTCAACTTTGTCTTCGTGGGTATGCTCGAGATGACGTGCTGTGTTGGCTAGGGAAGTGATGAATGCTGCTGTTTCGGGTTTTGCAATACCTCGCACTAGTAACGGATAATAAGTATTTTTTTTAAACAAGATAGACAAGCGTTACGTTGTATTTTCTTTACCTCCTAAACAGAGACCCTTTTCGTCGGCTACTAAGACGCCTTTCACACCTTCTTTATTTGCTCTACATGGTAAAAAGAAGTGTGTGTGTGTGAATATGAAAGCAATGGAGTTCAATTAAGAGAACATACAAATTGTCAAGTGTGGATATTAATTCGGATTCCATTACAGAAAGAAAAAAAAAAAAAAAAGAGGAAGACGAGAGAAGAGAAATTGCAAACGAAAAACACGTCATCATCATGCGCGCTTTTTTATTTTCGGGCAAAACTGTATTTGACAGTGACCAAACATTTGGGATTGACTTGGACACAACACGTCGGTATCGTTAGCCTCAATCCAAACATTCGAATCACACCCATTTTCATCACCCTCAGTAAACATGCAGTTTTTGTTAAAGTCCACCACATCAATCATCACTTTGAGCCGATCTTTTTACTCAACCTGTATGCCCCTAGTCAGTCGGGACCCAAGAAACAGTTTTATAGTGATCTTATAGAACTGCCTCTATTCAAAGATGAAATAGATATAGCACATTATACTAAGTATTCTAACTTCTTAATTGTCGGTGATTTTAACTATCATCATTACTCATCATATCGATCTTCGAATTCACCCACTCCCCACCCTATAGCGTCGTGGAAACGGATCCTCAGCCAACAACTTTATGACTGCATCAATTCAGATGATATAAGTGAAGTATTCTCTGTTGACAATCCACAAATAACATTCAGCCGGGGAACTTCACGCACAACCATTGATTACATTTTTGCGTCTCCTGCAATCAAAAGCAGTATCACCGCATCTGGGGTGAAATTTATTAACACTAACTGGACAGATCACGCTCTGCTATCCATTGATCTAATCATGGTGAGCAAAAAACACGGTAAAGGTATATATCGAGCGAACCCGGCACTGGTCAAGAACAAACGTTTCGTCGAACAATTATCTACACTACTACAAGATTTGAACCCTTCTACCACTCACGGCCCTCTTAATTCCCCTCAGAAGGAATGGGACGCTATGAAAAGAAAGGTAAGAAAGTTCTGTCAGAGCTTTAGCCGACACTACTGTCAATGGCGTGAAAAACAAATCGCTAGACTGCAAACTCGACGGTCCACGCTCATCGTTAAACATGCAAATTGTCCCGCCATCCTTAACCAACTTTTACCAACAGTTGAACATCAGTTAGGAATATTACAAAAGGAAGTGGCCGAAGTCGATGCAATTCGGGCTGGTAAACACTGGCGGGAACAAGGAGAAATTTCAGCTGGATACCTCAAGCGTACGATATCCCAACGGGAACAACAACGTAGCATGAAAGCAGTACACCATCCGATATCCGGGGAGCTATGCCATAATGACAAAGACATTCAGGAGTCTGTTAGAATTTACTACCAAGATTTGTTTAACCCGGATCCGATCAATCCCTCATCTGTTAATGCTATCTTATCTCACATTACTGAAGATTGTAAAATAACCAAAGATACTGCTGCAGGATTACTCCTTCCAATCACGATAGAGGAAATTCTAGAAGGTGCCAAACGATCTCCTGGCAAAAGCAGCCCGGGTTTGGACTCTATACCGTACGAAATTTTAAAACTTATCCTTGCTGACACTTATTTTAGCAACCTTTGTGTCATCATCTTTAATGAAGCGTTGACAAAATCAATTTTTCCGGACAGTTGGTTGAAAACATCGATGATCCTACTACCCAAGAAAGGTGATCTCACTCAACTAAAATGCTGGCGCCCAATTGCGCTCATTAATACAGATAGCAAAATATTTACTCGATTGATCAATTCGCGCATGATGGAGTCAGCAGCCGACATCCTTAGCCCACAACAACTAGGTTTTATGCCAGGACGTTTCATTGGTGATCATGGACTTACCCTTCAACTAGCCGTTGAACACGTCAAACATCAGATAACACCGGATGATGAGAGCTACCACTGTATTGGACTTCTACTCGACCAAGAAAAAGGATACGATAGGGTATCATCAGACTATTTACGCGCCACCCTATTAGCTTTTGGATATCCCCAGACCCTTATTAATACCATTACCGGGCTATTTTTTAACACTTCCATTCAGGTCAATATTAATGGCCACCTTTCACCAGCCATTCAACAAAACCGAGGATTACGACAAGGCGATCCGATCTCACCTCTCCTGTTCAACTTGGCATTCGATCCATTCCTGAAATCAATAACAAAACACCCCGATTATTCCGGGTTACCGTTCACGCCAACACCACCGGATAGTACATCGACTACTTCTACTTATACATTAAATAATGAAACGGCCTTGATCCCCAAACCTTTGCGACTTTGTGTCTACGCCGATGATACATTAGTTTTCCTTAAAAATCACTCGGATTTCCACATTCTTCAAGAGACCTACGCCCTCTACAGCGAAGCCTCCAATGCCAAACTGAATTATGATAAAACCGAAGCTTTTGCACTCAATGGTAAACCTTCTGAGGCTTGGACACAATTCTTACTGAACCACAACATCACTAAGTGGCACTCCCAATACTCGACAGCTCCACTGCGTTACTTGGGTTACCAACTCTGTTTCTCAACCAGTCAACGCAATCATTATGCTAACATCTTAATCGATAAGATTCAACAGGCATGCAACATCCACAAACAACGACAACTGTCAATTCGTGGACGAGCTACTGTTTTAAACTCTTTAATCTACTCAACACTATGGCATGTTATTCGGCTATTTCCCATGACTAAAGCCCAGATAGCCAAAATTCAATCGATTGGATACCAATTCCTTATGTTTCGAATGTTTCCAAAACTCAAATTGTCGATTCTTCAAAAACCACGATCACAAGGAGGACTCGGGATCCTAAACATCGGCCTTCAACAAAGGGTCTTTCAGTGGCGTTGGTTAAAACCCCTTTTAGAAGGTTATGGCTCCAACACTGACTGCCCAAAAGACGTGTACACTCTCCTCAAATTTGGACTGCGATCCTACAACGGGGATTTACCACACCATCACCTGCCATTGCTCTTAACAAAATATCGGGCTACCTCCCTCACTAATCATTATAGCCCATTTAGCACTATCTTCCAAGCTGTCGATTCCATTCCAAGAAACCTGACCAGCCTTCAGATCAACAAACACACCTGCCTTCAACTCCCCCTCTCATCCATCTGGATTCACACCAACACAACAACTACCGAAGACTCCTTCATCAAACCCGGAATTCAAAAGATGTTTGCACATCAACTATTCAGCATAGACGACAGTAACACGCAAATTATTCGCAAACCCTATTCCGCACTCACACAACATCCTACTTTGGCCAGACACTTTTTCCGACTACTGGATCAAAACATCATAATGTTAAATTTATTCTTTATTCGTCAATGCTTGTCCCCTGGAAATACATTTAACACAGACAGCCCGATACTACCTGAACAATCACACCTAGACCTGTCTCCCATAGTACATCATATGTTGACCCCCTTCTACGACAGCATCAAACAATTTGCAGGAATCAGGATTAATATCAATCGATTGGTACGACAACTCATGACGGGACAATCTCTCACTACAGCTCCATCCAACAGTCACCCTACAAACACAGCCTGGACAAAATTCTGGAAGACCAGCCTCCATCCAACATCACGCAATATATGGTACCGCTTGGTCCACAACAAAGCTCCTGTCAAATCCTTCCTCCATCGAGTCTTCCCTGATATCCATAACAGTCCCAATTGTGATATCTGCCCAAACATACTCGCAAATGCAGAACACGTTTTCGTCACCTGTCCCCAACGATGGTCCGTATGGGCTTCTATATTACTTGCTTTCAACCAACTACAAGATTTATCCAAACCAGAACAACAAGCCATTATTTTACAAAGCATTTTTCAGCTCAAATATCAAGGCACAATCACCACACTCCCTCACTGCAACTTCATACAACTACTAGGCTCGACTATCCACTCGATATGGCTATCACACCTCAACGAAATTTTCCGCGACATTACATTTCACGTAGAGACCACTGTCAAACGCACTCAGCAAACAATCGCTTCGTTACTCATAGAACAAGAAGAGGACATGGACATTTCCAAAAATATAAAAAATCAAAAAAATAACAAAAGCTAAAAACCCAAAAATATCCCACATCATCTCCTTCGCTCCACCCTTACATTAATCCCCATCCCCGTACCCATTATTCCACAGTCACTCAATTGTCCGGTCCAATAATATTTGCGATTCGAATTGTTGACTTTAAACAATAAAGATCTAGTCTCTTTCATACAAAAAAAAAAAAAAAAACATTTGGGATTGACTTTTTTTTTTTTAATATTTTGTATGACACATGTTTCAAGCATAAGTATTTGAAAGGAGAGCGCCAATAGGAAAAACAACAGATTTACGCTTTAATTCATCTCATCCGGGAAGAATTCATTTTTAAAACGAGCTTTGTGACTGATCATGTCCATGAGATATCACTTGTCTTGAGCCAGACAAAAAAGCTTGTATGTGCTTGACAATTGCTGCTTTGTGAAATGATGCCAAAAGTCATGTGTAGTAACTTTTACTAGTTATTGGAAAATGCAAAATAATATCTTGAATACCGTTTAGACCATGCAATACATCACATTTGTGACGCTTAATAAGGTTTGATGTAATAATAATGCATGTTTATCAAAGCGCTAAAAAAAAAATTTAGAGAATGTCGCCATGTACAACCCAATTTTGACAGCACCACAACAGTAGTAACAAAGGAAGGGGGGGGGGCGTTTAGTTAGCTGAGAGTAACTTTATCATCACACACAAGGGAATTTAGGCTTCGTTTTATTTCATCAGTGTTTGACAGTTCATATCCACCTGGATAACATACTTTTAAGAGATGAATATGTCCTATTTGGGATAAATGCTATGCTACTAGAATCCACATCATTTCCCCTCATTGTTCTAAAGTGTTTTTTTTTTGCAGCAAGTGATAAACTAAACAAAATCGTCCGTCAGACCAACTGAGTCTGTGATCCTTCCCTTTGTAGGCTGTATGGTACAATGAAGAAAGGTGGCATTCACAGGCAAGTAAATTATTAATACATCATACCATCATCTACTCCAAAATAGCATGACGCGTAGCAGCAGCAGCAATGTGTTCAAATGTAGTTTGGATAACCGCCCATGTTTTATTGGCCACTCTGTTTCCTCCCACTTGAACACAAAGCTCCAACATACAAAAAAAAAAAAAAAAAAAATCTTTTTTTTTATTTTACTTTTTTTTTTGTAGACAACATATAAACCACGCATAGATGACAGAAAACGAAAAGAAAGACATTCTAATTCAATTGTTAAAGCAAGAATTAACCAAAGAAGCACTACCTCAAAACTTTCGCGATATCTTGAGTAAGACGCTACAGGTACTTTCGCATCAAAATAAAGATCTAGACAAGCTGCGACAGGAGCGAGACAAGTTCCGTAAAGAAGCTGAACATTGTGAGACCAAGTCCTTGCAATTGACCAACTATGTGAAAGCGGCTGAAGATAATTACAATGCGCTTGCTAAACTATACAAAGGTGAACATACAAAGACGCTAGATCAACAAGAACAAATCATACAATATCAGACCAGACTAAAGGAGTTGGGTGAGGAACAAACAGCGCGAGAACTCGTGATTCGACAACAAATTGAACACATGAAGCAGTTAAGTGATGAACGGGTCGAGAAACAACGGGAAGAGTATACCAAATCAGCCAATAAACAAGCCATGGGAAGAAGAAATATCGAAGAAAAATTAATGCACAAGGATGCCGAATTAAACGATCTCAAGAAACGATTACAGGATCTGGAAACACGGTTTAATCACTTGGAGGCTCAGAAGCAAGAGAAAGTAAACGAAGCTGATTTTTACAAGAAGGAAAACTCACAGTTGAAATTGTTGGTGGCTTACTTGCAACCACAACAATTGCAAGCTCAAAATCAAACCCATATCCAAACTTTACCCCAACCTCCTCACAATCCACGTTATTAGTTTATGTAATAAACACGGGACAATGATTTTTTTTTATTAGTTTTTTTTTAATAAGAAAGAAAAAAAAAAAAAAGGGTATTCTATAGTGATAGAGGATAGAGGATTTAAGGTGAAGTTGGTTTTCTCAAGAAGGAGGTGGCCCTTTTAATGAAATTAGTAGGCTCCTCCTTTTTACTAGTATGAGACAAGAAGCTCAGTCTTTTACTAGCTGTATTGACAGTGGGACGTGCCATTGGTTTCAGTCTTTGGATGGCTCTCTTTTCACCATGGTGAGCAGCCTTTTCATACCATTGCATAGCAGCGTGTTCATCTTTAGTAGTACCGATACCCATTTCAGTAAAGTAGCCTACGGCATACTCTGCTCTGGGTAATTGAGAACGGGCAGCACACATGGCCCATGCATAGGCCTGTTCATCAGAAGGAGGCAAGATATGAGGGATCCCTACCAAGTACCAAGCTGTCAAAGCGAAACACGATTCAGGATGCTGTTGTTCTGCAGCGATACTATAATAGTGGATGGATAAACCAGGATCCGATGTACAGTCAAGTTTTCCAAATTCATAACATTCGCCGAGACGATGCGCAGAGGGGGCATAACCCAAACTGGCTGCTTCATGGTACAGACTGACGGCATATTTAAGATCGATAAAGAGAATGGATTCAAGGCCAATTTCATGGAGTCTAGCGAGTTCATGTAAAGCATGTGGGTATTGAACTGTAGCTGCTTCAGCCGATCTTTTTAACCATTTATGACCATCACGTATGTTTCTAGACCGGTTTAATTCACCCTTCATTTCTGCCAAGCCAAGCCGATACATTGCGCCAGGATGATTCAGGGTGGCTGCTTTCCTGTTTCATGTATTCTTTTTTAGTGTCTAATCTTTTTGTATGAATTTAACAATTTTTTTTACCTGTAGTATTGAACTGCTTTGGCCTTGTCTTTTCTTGTGCCGAGACCATCTTCATAACATTTCGCAGTTCTAAGTAAATAAATAAATAAATAAAAAATTTAATACAAAAAAAAAAAAAATTATATAAATAAACATGTCATGCACAAGTATGAATTGCATTATCTATCAAGTTGATCTTTAGGGACATCAAAAAGGTAAAAAAAAAAGAGCCCTCAACACCTTACCTATAGGCTGCATCAGGATGATGATGTTTGGCTGATTGTACAAATAAAGGAAAAGATTTGTCAAAATCAGCTTTACCGGTTTTATTCAATAGACCGGCTGCATACATATTGGCAAGGTAGTACTGAGATTCACTATGACCACGCATTGCGATTTGCTTTAAGGATTTTTCAGCTTCCAACATGTAGGCTCTCTGTTGATTTGATGCATTGATGTCTCCACCTTCCTGCTGTTGTTGCTGTGCTAATCGTTTAGAAGCTTCCACTAAAAAGATGGCAAAATCACATTGAATTTCCATATTGTTGGTCTTTTTGGCATTTTCTCGATACATGTTGATGGTGGTGCTGTAAGAAAGTAAAGATGCATTTTGACCGGGTTTTAAGTGAGAATGGTCTAGTAGTGGATCACTAACGGTGGATTGAAGACTGTGTTGTGAAGAAGAAAAGGAACGGTTACGGACTGAATTAAATAAAGGTTGAGGTGATACGGGAGAGGCGATAGAAAGTGGACTGGAGAGTCGATGACTGATACGCAATTCCTCCTTTTTTTTCATATCTTGATGCCAATGCGTGTTATTTGTAGCTACTTTGACATCCGTCATTGTTGCAGCAGGTGGTGTTTGTAACATTTTTGGTTTTTCTATAATAATTATTTTAATAAGAAGAAAGAAGAAAGTTTAATGAAAAAAAAAAAAGATTTAACAAGAAATAAAAAAAAAAAAGCACTTTAACTATTATGTGTGTTTGTTAGGGCACTTTTGCATTAAAAAAAAAAGGTTCCACTCACATGTCCTACTATTTTTGGCAAAGGTCGAACGCCCAAGGGTTGCCCTCATCCTTAGCAACGGAGTGGGGGGGGGACGGAAAAGGAGGAGTAGGGATTAGTATATACTTTCTGGTCTGACCCTTCCCCCCTCCTTTTTTTTTTTACTTGGTTGCAGACATAAGAAAAGACTCCTTTAATATAGATATATGAATTTCCTTTACTCCCGGTTATCTAACCGCTTTTCTCAATGTCATTTTTCAAAACATGGATAAATGAGGCACCTTTTTTTTTTATGGATGCGCTTTATTTATTTATCGTGTAACATATTCTTAAAATGCGTGGCTCTGCGTGTTTATTCCTTTTTTAAAAAAAGCGCAGAAATTTGTTGATTCCATAGCGTCTTTTTTAAAAAGAAAGGCGTGATGTTATTATTCGGGCGAGAAGAAAAGGAAAGAGGGGGTATGTAATTGAAAAGTGTGTATTTCTCTCTTATTCTTTCTCAATATGGTAGTACTACCCAAAAAAAAAAAAAAAAAACGGGTTATTATTATTTGTCTGTGTTCACATATACTTTCTCTTTCTTACCGGGAGTTGTTCTTCGGTATATGTTCTTTTCCGCCAGTTCTATGTAAAAAAAAAAAAAAAAGAGAGATAAATATATAAGCAGTGCCACATAAAGAGACACCTTTTACCTTCCATTGTAACAATAGCCATATGACTATACAAGTCATCAAAAACATTGTCATTATCTCGGGTGCATCCATCATTGTACGTTGCACCTTGACTGTCACTCCTCCTCCTGCTGCTGCTGCTGCCTTACACAATGGCGCCTCTACCACTGCTGGTGGTGCTGATAGTACGGTCTCCTCGTTCACCCGGTTGTATAAACCCTTAGTTTGATGCATAGCGTTGATCGGGTTCTTCTTTTCTTGTGGTTGCGCTGTTTCATTTTCTAGAGCGGGTATCACCCATTTAAGAAATTCTTCGTCAGATGGACTCCCTCCTTCGGCTGCTATTGCTGCTGCTGCTGCTGCTGCTGCTACGGGCGGTGGCTGTGTGAGTTGTTTAATGGCAGTCAATGCTTCCTTATTTAATACAATATCATCTTTGGGAATTTCGTATTCGGGCCAGTCGTCTTCGATCTCATAATCCATGAGATATTCCTCTACAGTGCGATCGTCCGCATCGTCTACTAATGGGTAGACATTCCATTCATTGGTTGAGCTCATGTTTTTTTTTTTAAAAAAAAGTAAGAAAGAGTGTAAAAAAGACAGAAAAAAAAACTAAAAAGAAGGGATACAAGGGGGTAGGAGGAGCAACCTAAATATATACATATTTCTTGTTTATAGGATTTTCAACTGAACAAGTAACCTTACACGTGTACAGCTTATAAGCTGTCAGGAACCATTTAAAACGTAAGAAGGTTACCTATGTGGTAGTCAAAAAAAAAAAAAAAAAAGGAAGGCGGGGAATATTCTAATTATAATGTATGAACACTAGCCTGCAAAACAAAATAAGTGGTTCCATCACAATGCAATGGATATCACCAAGTAAAATAGTAAGAAAGAACGAGTTGACTTGCTTGATTCTGCCCTTTTTATCGAAACCCCGGATCATTAAAAAAAAAAAAAATTGGGGTGATACAATGGACCCACTGCTTGGGTTCTTAATTACTATTGTGTACAAGAGAGGTATGGGCCATAAAACCTCATTTTCTGTTGTGTGTATGTGTGTATATGGCCAGAATATATCAACAGAGGGCTATAAATGAGAGTGTGCTGTTTGGTTCATGACGTTTCATTTTAGCGCACTTTACGTAGATGGCAGGTCACTCGTTACAATGGGCGAAAAAGTCATGCCATAACCAAGATAAACTTTCAGTTTCAAAACTCACACATTAGCAGCGGAAAACACTAGTCACATTCGTCAACGGAGTGGAACCCAACAGAGATTATCCGTCCAGGAACAAGCAATCCTAATGTGTGTGAGAAAAAAAGTCAGACAATATGGCAATTGGACCTTTATACTGACAGAGAAAATTCCTGATCTTTTAATACCACTCATTCTTATTCAAACATACCCTTGTACCGCACAATTACTGTATAAGGTATATTATGCTCTCGAAAGAAACACTTGCATACAGCTGGGAATGATTGCATTAAATTGTGTTTTCTGCTTAAATCAGAATAAGTGAAATTAACATTTTAAACACTAATTTAAATAGGTGCAGTTTATTTATATAAGGTTGGGAAGCATGATCTATATGTCTAGTATTCTAAAGAAAGAAAAAAAAAAGTATATGGTTGATGGTTTTACTGGAATAGATTTCTGTCTAGTTTATATAAATATATATATTGACAAGTAAATACCATAGAAGAGAGTATCCCTGAGTAAGACCATCCCTAAAAATGTACATTCGTATTACCCACTTCTTCCTGGGACGGCTATGGAATCATATCCCGGAAGGGAACCAGAGAAACTGTACAGTCTATTTGATCTGATAGCGGTTGTATATGATGGCACCCTTGAAATATCGATTCCTTCCCACGGTAAAGGTAAAATATTATCGTCTAGTGAAGTTGGTGTATGTGGGCGTGTGCTTGAGTCTCCTTCATCATCTGTATCATTGGGTGCTAGTGTTCGGTTGGCTCCGCTCGCTGCTTCGTTAGGTGCTGATATGGCAATCGAAGGTGGTAAATCGCCTCTGGCAATTAAATCAGCGACTTGTTGAGGATCGTAAGGTGCAGATTTCCAAGCGTCCTCGTAGGAAGGCAAGGCATTTTCATCTTCCTCTGGGGATATTTCAGAAATAACGATCGGGATTGCTGCACGTAACTCTGTAATAAAATAGGTGTTTAGTATTTATCTTGGGGGATGAGTAAAAACGGTTTATCTTTTTACCTGATATATGACCGTCTGCATTTGTTAAAGAGACTGTGAATTTAAGCTTATGCTTGATTTTTATCAGATCACAATTTGAATCAGTTTGGGCAAGATGTGAGTTGTAATCGGGTACAGTCAATAATTCAGTCTTTGTCCATTGATCCGGTCCAGAAGCGAAATGTTCGTCACGTAAATGTTTTATCACTTTGCCTTCCATTTTCGAATGATCGTCGGCGGACAAGGTTGTGTACTCTTTTAAAACACAAGATACGGATCTAACTCTTAAGTCTTGAGCTATGGGTACAAGCGCAAAAGTGATGGGTATGATACTACCTAATCCAAATACTTTTGTTGGTACACTGATGTCATAGCTTAGTTTATCGACCCAAACATTCGATATCACCAGTGATTGTGACAACTCTAGTGAAGATGGCAGTAAAACTCGGGAAACCCGTAAAAGTTTCTTATCGTTGTAATTCATTGAAAATGTGGGTCGTTCCACTGTCGCCTTTAGTCTGTAATTTACTTCACCTAAATCATGTTGCACACTCTCTGGTAAATCGCCTGGTAAAGGTACACACCCATAGAGTTTTTCGGACGTTCAAAGCTCAATTTTTTTGGTTAATCTTAATATGGACATTGTCGGGTTATAGAATTTTTTGTATTTCGGTGGAACCGTTTTTGCCAAAATAAAAATGGTTCAAATTGTTTAAAAATAATTATTTTGATTGGATAGAATTATAGGCTTAAAATGTAGATTTTATTTAAAAAAAATAATGGATGGCTTGGATGCCATACAGCCTTGCCAGCCATTGGAAATCCCTTCAGGATGGTGTAAAAAATGCATAAATTTAATCCACTACTCCCAGAAGACTGTAAGACAGTATGCATTGTTCTATAGAGCATGTATAGCCAGATGCGTACAACAAACCTATAAAAAAATAGTTAGTAAATGATACTGGAATAGTTGAATAAAAATCACTTTACCTTATTTCTTGTGCCGTTCAGAGTAATCCGTATTTGACTAAAGAAGTATGAACGTTAATGCATGTTGTTTGTACACGAAAAGCAATAGACTTACCTCACTTCATTACGCGTTAAATCTGTTATAAAAAATTTTTTTAGTCTTCATTTGAACAAAAAAAAAAGTGCTAGCAATATACCTTCCACATAGATGGGTCAGTTATGAGTGTACTATTGAGCATAAAAGTGAAAAACTATAAGATAGATAGCTTTAGCGTTTATAAAGGGAATAAGAGAAAATAACTTACCAAGTTAAAAAGTTAAAGAAACGGAAAGAAAGACATGAAGAAAAAAAAAGAAGCTAAAAGAAAAAGAACCTGCTGGAAATAGCTGTAGTTCAAAATTCTGGTCTAAACCTTTGCATATAAAAAACCTCTAAGTCAAAAAAAAAAAAAACTATATCTCTATCTCTTTTACTTCCTGAATTATGAATACTCAACCTGAACAAACCAACGAAACCGAAAACCCCTATCGTTGCGATTTCAATGAATGTGGCAAGCGCTTCCGGCATCCAAGCGCCCTTACACGTCATAAAAAATCACATAAAATTACCGAAGCCTTCACTTTTAAGGCACCCATTACCCCAAGCAACACGGCCTTCAGGCGAGTGAATGGACCAGAAGTTACTGCATTACCTGAGTCGATTAGATCTACTCGCATCAGTCTGGATCGTATGGTGTTTCATCAAGAGGACGAATCTGAATGCCAAGATTACAGTGACGAGGAAGACGACGAGGACGAAGATGAACCTTTTGATGAAGACATTGAATTCACTGAATCCATTGTTGATGAACCGGAAGCTGTAGTCGACGAAATCGAGGATCAAACACCCATAGTTGTCAACGGCGAGTTTTTTCCTTTCAGGGATAAGATACATCAATTGATGTATCAATTCTATTATCGGTCTGGGGGTGACATATCTCAAAGTTTGATGAAAGATATTGTGAAGCTTGTCAAGGACGTCACTGAAGCCAAGGTTGCCTATCCCGAAGCCAAAGTACCTGCAGCTGATCTCATATTCAACTTTGATGATTCAAGAAGAACAAGAAACCAGATTCCCTTGCTCAGACAGACGAAGCACTACGTCAAGGTTCAGAAAAAGGTGAATGGTCAAGAAGTCGAAGAAGATCTCCCGTTCTATATGAATCCTCCCTCCGAAGTCTTGAAGTTGTTGGTTGCAAACCCTTCTGTCACTGATCATTTATCAAAACTTCCTGATCATACAGAGGGCGAGCTTGTCGATAGTTACCAGTCGAACAAATGGCGTACCCACAAGATGTTTCAACATCCAATGGTCTCTGTCATAATCAACAACATCCCAAAGGATATCTGGGTTGGTGATCTGATCAAAACAGGTCAAACTTTTGTGATTGTGGAGAGGTTTTATACCTTGAATCATTCAATCGTTATGGCTGAAGGTTACCAAGTTCTTCCCGTTGATGGTAGGTTATACCTCCACAACATGCCCAGGAAAGTTTCTGTCGAAGTGAATCTCATTTCAAGCATTTTGTGTGATCGCCCGGAAACTTTGTCATTGGATTTCGAACGTAATGTGCTGGATGACTCTAATCTCCTTAGAGCTTCTAGTACCATTATTAGTAGATTGAAAATGCCAAATCCTTTGAAGCGCCCCTCTCCTTCTTCTGCTCGTAAATTCAAGCCCGTTAAGGTTATTCCCCTGAATTTCTTTACTGATGATATGAGTGGAAATCGAACCAAGAAACACAACAAGTTTGATAGTTGGATTATGGTACCCGCCGCTTTGCCTCTTGCTGAACGACATGCACTTGAGAATACAGCCTTCATCTGTACAGATCATTTGCTGTCAGCAATGCAAATGCTTCCTGCTATTGTTGAAGATCTTTTGTTGTTGGAGAAAGGTGTGGAGATGTTTTTGCCTGGTGGTGAGGCTGTCGTTGTCGTTGCTCCGTTGCAATTTATCACTGCTGATAATGCGCGTCATTCGGAGCTTGCCTCTAGTCGCGGTGCCATTTCAAAGATGCCATGCCGAAAGTGTGTTTGGGAATTAAAAACCCCAGCTCGACTTGATGGCAGTGATTATCGTTGTGACCCTCGCTCTGAAAAAGTGGTTGCAGATATGTACGCGCGATATTTGGCTTCTGGCGGTGACAAGACTTTGTTGGTAAATGTCGATACTGGTTACAAACTTGTTGGTGGTCAGGCTCTGGTAGACCTTCAATCGTTCGATACGATGTTGGATTGTCCAATCGAGCTCCTTCATACGATAATGCTTGGTGTCGGCAAAGCCTTGGTAAAAACATTGTTGCAAGACCATCTGAATCCAACTGAGAAAAGTATCCTCGAAACAAGATTGCATGGTTACGTTAGCAAAGGGTTTACCCGAAAGCTGCGTTCATCATTGCGTCTTCATGGATCTTTCTTAGGTAGGGATTACAAAATCCTCGTTCAGCAAGTACCAATTCTGTTGAATCAATTGATCTGTTCTGGTGAAATTCGACGTGATGACGGTGTTCTCTTGATCAAGACCTGCTTTGAAAATTTGGGCAAGTTAGCTTCGCTTTCTTATATCAGCAAAATCAAGCATAAGTCTGATTCGTACCTGAAGTATGTGGAGTTCACTTACAATGATCTTCGTGTCTCGGTGATGGAGCATGATGCTTACATGAAGCGAAAGTATCCTAACAGAAGGGGTGGCTCCGTTTATAACTCCAGTAAAATGCACATCATGCATCATCTTGTTGATGATATTTATCGATTTGGATCCCCAATCTTTTATGAAACTGAGAAGGGTGAGCAATTTAATAAATTCATTCGAGAGTGTCTGTTTCGTACCAACAGACATAATCCTTCAAGAGATGCCGCTGTTGCTTTTGCAAAGAGGTTGATGGCTCGACATGTATTGACTGGTGGTTCTTGGTTGGTGGCAGGCCAGGATTATCCAGTTAAAGCTTCAAACAAAGTCCTCGAGGTTGCTGTGTCCTTCAAGTCTACTATTAGAGACTTTGTTGATAATGACGATGATGACAAGACCATGAAAGTTGGCTCAACCGGAATTTTTCAAAACGGAAACAACCTCTTTATCGGTGAAGTCGTCAAAATCGATGCGTTGACTGGTGCTCCCACCATCGTTGAATACGCTCTTTGGTGTGAACGTGGACCTGTGACAAGATTTGAACTTCTAAGCCAGTCCGACGGTTTAAACTCCTGCGTTTATTACGTTTGTAACAAAGACAATGGAGGAAATCTTGTTGTTGAAAAGCTGTTGCGGACGAAGTCGACATACAGAGAAACAGAGTGTCAGTTCGTGGAGATGCTTGATTTTTCAAGAAAGATGAACCCTCGTTTCAACTTAATCAACACCAGCAAGTTTGGCACCTTCTGGTGGGCATTGTCTCATAAAGTTAAAAATTTATAAAATTTGTCTTAATAAAAAATCATGTTCATGTACATGTTAATTTCGCCATGTTAATTTTTACTTAGAAGTTTTTTTTTTTTTTTTTTTTTTTTTCGTTATTTCATTGGATGAAATGATTTTAAAAGCATAATTGTTTCCCAGAAGAGACTATCTACAAATTGAGCTAAGAAGATTTGGTGGGCTGGCTATTTTATTGGACGAAAGATTTTAAAAATAAAGTTTACATTCAGATGAGGGCACCTTACTATATAAGTTGAGGAGACTCAGTTGGTGTGTAGTTCAAAATCCCTGTCATACAAATATTTAAGTTAGCCCGTATTTTCCTTTTCGTATGAGGATTTTTTTTTTTTTTTTACCATTTGTAATGACCTTCGGGTAAATGGTATGTTTTACGGTTAGGAGGTAGAAAACTCCATTCGTGTTGTATGAGTGTCTTTTCTTCTTTATAATGACGTTGGTGTGATCCGATCCCTAACAATAAAAAAAAAAGTGTCAATGTCAATGAAAGCATATATGGGTTCCCGTCACTGGTCGCTACTCTACCTTCAGTCCAGTCAACTCTCGCTTTACCAATAAATTTTAAGGAGATTGATTTGACCTTTGTTGTTTCATGACAGTTTAGCACTACAGAGCCTCTTAACATCACGCCAGCTGATTCATCCACGTTACCGTGTAATAAAATATGGTCGTTCTCTACGTTGATATGAAAATCTGAAGTATGCACAAGTTGTATAGGATTTGATAACATGCTAAGATAAATATAATGAGGAGTTAAAGAAAAATATGGTTTATAGAAAAAAAAAAAAAAATGATGGGTTTATCAGTTTTTTTTTTTTTTTATTGAAGTGGGTTTTAATTGGTTGTATTTTTCATTTTTCGGATCCGTTACCTGTTTGACACAGCGTTTTTCAAAATCATCAAATCAGATCGATAAGGTGTTAAAACTTTATACGCTGTCGGCATAGAGGCAAACAACAACAAATTTTTTTTTTTTGCTTTTATTGGTCAAAAAGGACAAAAAAAAAAGGGTCATTCTTATTTATACCCGAAAAAAAAAAAAAGAACTCTCGAAAAGGAAATGCATGAAAGGGTAAATCTTTATCAAATCAAATATTAAAAATTAAAGAGTTTACCCAAATGCTATTCCATCTATACATTTTTCTTCAAATAATAAACAATCATTATGCGTCACAAGAGTCATAACTCAATATGTGTCATAAGAGTATTATCTTGATTTCCTTGTGATATCTTTTTTTTTTTTATAATAGATAATTCGCCCCTATTTTACCTTGATACGAGCTTATGTTGTACGACGTTACAATCCCGTCCTAATTATTTTAGCTGACAAAAAAACACTGGGAATGGTTTTATTGTTACAACCCGGCCCTGTTCATAAAGTGGTACCACTGGTTGTGTCCTTTTAACGAGATTTCCATGGCATTTGTTGTGATGGCTCTCTTGTTCTTACTGTAATAAATTAGATCGTTTGCAACACACTTTTTTTTTTTTATAATTTGTAGATAACACCAAGCCTAAAAATAGTGCATATAATAAACTGTGTGGGGTCTACGTTTTTTCTTTCTTTCTGCAAATCAATTCGTCCCCACGAGAGCTTTTCTTTATGCATGTGAGAAGGGGCTTATTGGACGAAAACAGCAAAGGCTAAACATTTACCGATCTGTTTTCGTTGTCACCGGTCGGACTTTAATATATATCCCAGGAGGGCCGCGAAAAATGCACTCATTAAGATCACTGAGCATTTTTCTACCTTTTAACCCAGCTTCTGGTCGGTAATCTACAAAGGTTCTTTATGCAAGCACTCAGGGGATAGATTTATGGAATACTGAATGAAATTTAATTGTAACTTTTAATACTCTTGGGAGAGAGGTTTCCTCCTGAGCGCAGAGAAATACGTCAAGTATCTTCTTTTGATAATCACAGGATCGAACACTTTTGCTCTTTTTTTGGAAACTGATTCGTTGATAAAATCGTCTTTGGGCTCTTGATCTTCATCTACTTTCAGAAATGTCAGATTTGTTAGTGGAATAACCCTTCTACTACAACAAAGGCCTACCCCTCTTTGTCAGACTCATCTACAGTTCCATCTTATTACCATCTTGTTGAAATAAATATAAAAAAAATTGGGTGTTACAGCTATGTTGGGATAGATACATCAAAAAAGTCGTTTAAACTATTTGTATGATGTGGTCGTTATGTTATTGTAAACCTGGTCAAAATAGTTTTACTTGCATAAGCGGTCGTTGCTTTTAAAGTAAAAAGCACTGCACCATGCAGTCCTCATTATCACACTATTTTACTCTTATAAATTAAATCCATATAGTAAATATCAGACTATAACAACGTATGAAATTCATTATAGACAAAATCCAAAGATTATGTAAGAATTTATGTTGTTCTGACAAGTAAACATAGGGATTTTGTCACCTTTGTTATGGATGTTCTATACAGGTTTCTTTCTTTTATAGTCACTAAAATTGGTTCTTACTAGACCTTAAGGGCTAAAAACCGATTACAAAGCTTTGATATTGCTGCTGCATTTTTTTTATGAAAGAAATAGAACAAACATACACATATGTTTTGAGAGAAAAACCTGAGGGTGGCAACTTGGTCAGTAAATACTGATTACAAACTACCTTTGGCCATTTTCATTGACAACGAAAAAGCTTTGCCAAGCGTAATCGAACAGCTATTTCTAGAAAGCCAAGTCTCGAATGTCCAGTACAGCGGAATCTGATAAATAAACGAGGTATGACGAGAATTAAAAATCGCTATCATGGTACACTCACGCCGTGGATAATTTTTAAAAGTCTTGGTATCAACAACATTTTGTTTGTTGTTCTAAAATCGCTTTTTACTAAAGTATCTTGTGAATGGTACACCGACCCCACCAATTTTTATGTGGTTTAGTAAATTAATCTTAAAACATGCTAACAAATAATAGACACCAATTGTGACACCGACAACATCTCGATAAAATAAAAGGGAATATGTGCATATTCTGTAATTTCCGTAGATGAATCTACGTAGATGTTCAAATGACATACGATGCTTATCTACAGTCAGAAAAAAAAAGAAAGAAAGTATAATTAATATTTTAAACAATAGATAAATGATCTGATTTTTAAGCAGATCATTACAAAATTACACTTTTTGTGATACGTTCTACACACGCGCTTAGACGACAATAGCATAATTTTTAATCTTTTGCTCTGACAACCCTCGTGCTCTCTCTTCTTATACACATTACTTATTATTGGACTTGGTTTATCTCATACAGAATATTACAGCGATAATCATAGTCAATTGAGTATTCTATACTACATTTAAAAGAGCCGAGGAGGTACTTTCTAAAAGTCGCACAAAAAGAAATAAATGTTTGTATTACATAACACCTGATTGGCAGACATTTTAAGGCGGCGGTTTTTTCTGTATAAATTATTTTAAAACTTTTATGAAAAATTAGTAACAGATCTTTTTTTTTTCTTTACTCCTCAAAAGATTGGATGTGACCATGATTAAAGATTGTAAATCCACCCTTACTACTCACAAATAGTAAGTTTTGCATTAGAAGAATGACTTAATTGAGAACTCATTTTATAATTTTATCCTAGCTCTTCCCTCTTGTTCTTACTTATGACATTTTCCCTTCCTTTAATATCACATACATCAGTCATCGCTACAGCACTGATTGTTGTCGCTCTTGGTATAGTTATCTGACCACAAAAAAACAAGCATCATTCTAATTTATCTTTAGACTGTTTCATCTCACGTGAATTATACAACCGTGTGTATAGCTCATATTTTCCTTCGTATACCATCGTTATACCAAACGACACGACCCATACCAAAAATACCAAAAAACCAGCTCTCCTTATTGATACCAACCCATTATTTACGACCAAAGACAGAAACCCTATCTCGACTGGCAACAGGTCTCATCATATGATCGTAGCAAGTCCGGAGTCAATTCATCCCACAGCTCTTCACAAACCCGTCAAAAAGAGACGTCATTATTCGGTATCTTCACGTTCAGAAATAGACTTTTCATACAAGATGCCCGAATTATCTCCTTCCGCATCCTCCGACTCCTCATTTGACTCAAATTGGAGCCAGGGACGTAGACCTTCTCAGGTGGAAGAAATGATACACCTGTTTGAAACAGGTGGACATCAACCCCATCGTCGCTATAGTGTAGATTCTCACAACTATCAACAAAAGCAATTAATTCGGGAAAGAAAGTTCGAATATAAGCCTATTGCTATTGAATGGAAAAAACGGGACACAACTCCAATCCAATTAACCCCATCAAAGTCAACGTAAATACTTAAAAAAGAAAACTTGTTTGAATTTGTTGCTAACTATTTTTTTTTTTATGTATATATACAATAGTCCCATCAGAAAAAAGATGCCTCCAATCCTCGAGAAAAGCAATTTCGCCTGGGCTTAACTGCGATTCTGTATATTCATATTACCTGTACATTTTAATTTCTTTTCTTTTTAAAATTGAATAAAGAGAATCCTTTTTTTTTTTAGTATTATTGTTGTGTGCCTAACTACAATTCTCCCTGTTTTTGGGATTCCTTACAATGATATATGAACGTGTCCAAACGATATTAATTTTAAAGGGTGAGTTTCAAACGACTCAATCTAAAGTCGTAAATTCATTCTTGCAAGTGTCAATCTAGGAGACTCGAGACATAACGAGAATACTACATGAATTTACTTCAATGACACCTCTGTACATTTGAAAATGATAGGTAGTTCCGGATGAATAAACATGTATATATAGCCTATAGACTTACTGTAAACAACCCTTACAAAAATAAAATAAAAAAACCTATTGACTTTTCTTGGAGGGTGTTAAGGGTCTCCTCAGAAGAAGAAAAAAAAAGGGGGGAGGGGGAGGGACCAAAAACGTTGTTGGATCTGAGATTTGTCGGCCTCGATTCTTATAATGGCAGGAAACCTTTTGCTTCATTTTCCTATTTTCGAGATAGGCCACTTTTTTTTAAAATAATGACACCCTCACAAAAAAGGAGGATGAATATAATGTGTATACCTCTTCAAGATATAGCGCATACATCATATACAAAAAAAAGATATACTGCATACTATTATCGTCAGTTATTTACGCTTTTCCGATTACCGATGTTTATTATGTTCTCGAACTTTAATCATGACTACTCTATAAAATAAGATGATTTTAGGTAAACCAAACAAACAATACTCCTTAATGACATTTTTTACGTAAGGTGGTACAAATGACTACCTCATCGACAAGATAGGACCATTCCACTTCCGTCTTTTAATATTGACGAACCCATTTTCGAAGTAGTCCAATCTAATTACATCATAAACCGATAAGGACAGCCGGGTCTATTGTGCACATTTTTATATCATTGGGTGAATACATTCCCTTTGGTTGCTTAATTAAGCTTTAACTATATAAATCGGCCAATTTTTAGTGATTTACAATACTCGAGTTCATTGATCATCCGAGTTTTTAAACAACCCAGATATACACACATCGTATCATTTGAGCAATCAAAGCTCCAAATAGCTTGTTGACTGTTTCGCATAGTTAACTTATTTTCTTGTGATACCACAGTCAAGGTCCTTTCCCATTGCATTTAAAGTTATTAGGTGCATTTAATTGACAAAGGATCTACATTTATGCATTTGTCAACCCCGATAATATAAAGTTTCATCCAAAAAGTGAGAAAACCGAAAAAAAAAACTTTCATCATCTCTTATTTAAAGCTTCATCGAATGTGAGAACAGAGACTGTTTTCGAAACAAAATTACTGATTTATAGCAGGATCCGAGTCATCTCACTTGGTTCGTATGTAAAAAATATCGTAAGCAAAACTTCAATTTATGGTAGACAATCATAAATTCCACGATTACCAGTATCAACGGCATGATAGACATATCAGATAAATGTTGAAACTCTCGCAACGTTTTTAGATGATAAAACATTGACGACGTGATCAGACTTTTTACACACGTATAATCGTATTCCCATCTAGACTTGCAATTATAACGGGCTAATTAATCTGTCGGAAAGATAGCTCCAAATAATTCAAAAAAAAAAAAAAAAAATCCTTGGATAAAATAACAGGTCGTCAATATCAAGGATAAAGTGGAAATAATTAAAGCCTGTATCTATAAGTTCTTGGATATAAACAATTATCAGAGTAAAAGCTGCATGATTAAAATTTGATTCCCTTTGTTCCAAACTGTGTTTAGGCTCCTTGATAGTAACTCATCGATCATTTGAAATTAGGTAGATAGCACTTTTAAGCAAGTCAAAGATGAAGAGAGGATCACTAGATTGTCAGACCAATTGTACTTGCTTCTATTTATGTTCTTTTCGCAAGTTTTTTTTTTTTTTTTTTCAGGGTGTGAATACCACTTCTATAATCAGCATCTCTGGAATAAATACAGGTATTTTTTGAGAGTTGTAACGTCAACCGAATTAGGCTTCTAAAAGTAGTGTGTGTCAAAGAGTAATCAGTTAATATTAACACCTAAAAAAGAGGTCAGAATATATTCTAACGTAAACAAAGAACAGAAAATGCGCCAACCCTCTTTGCTTTACAGACTATTATAACTTTAAGTGAAAAATGTGATCCAATGCTCTTTGTGGCTCAGTTTATGCTAAGACTGGGGAATGCAATTCCTGGCATAAAAACTTATGAAATGGATATGATCACAATAGGTCATTTCTATCATAAGATTTTTCAATTGACCAATAAGAACAGGTAATTTTTGCTGACCTAATGTAATTTACCATATTTAATTTTTTCAGGGAGTCTAACCGCAACTTATTAGTGTTAACCATTAAGTTTAGCTTTGATATTCCCTATGTTTTGCATAATTTGTAGGATTGGTTGTTGAGGGTTGTATTTTTTTCAAATGCAAAATGGTGTATTTAGTTTGCGGTTATAAGAGTAATTTTTATTAGGTGTTATATTAGTTAGTTAAATGGGCAGTGTAATCCTTCACCCTCTGGTGGTTGGACCAGTAATATGGAGGACCAAACCAAACCGGCAATATGAACAACTGCCTATTAAAGGATGAGTTAAAATGAAAGTCGTTAAAAAAAGTTATATTTGTACCTGCCTGCATTGTCACATTTAAGGCCGGTGATTCGGTTGGAATTTGTGGACCACAAGCATTATATAAATTTTTAAATGTCGTGTCATTAACACTTTGAGATTCATAATCTACGCGAAATATTAAAGAATACAATGTCTCTTTATAGGGAATGAGATGAATGGGACCGGTTCTTGACCAAGCAAAAGGTACATATGTATCTCGATCCATCAGAATGAGTTCAATGTCACTGATACGAGTAGGTATAAAATTGGCGCTATTATCTAAAGTCATGTTCAACTTCCATGCTGCTCGTAACCAGGGTTGTTGAGTCGGTCCCCAATCTGCAGGATCACCGATCCGTTCCGCCTTCTCGCTTTGTAAAACCAGTTTAGGCACTCTTGGCCAGCAGAAGTAGATCATTAAGCTAATGACAGTCAATAATGTCATGACACAGAATATAATAAACAATCGTTTGGAAGTAGGTGTGTAAAAATGGCTTTTTTCCTGCTTTTGTTGGCGTTTGTATCTTAATTTGTCCGTTAAAGACAAGTCGTTAAGATCGGCAGATCGTAAATGTCCGCCATTATTTGTACCACATTGTGTTGTTAAAGACATGGCATGTTGTTGTATACTTCTATGTTCCCCGTTTATCATGTCTACCGGGTGAGAAGCAGAGGAAAATGTCATGGCATCATCTTCAACATATAATTCTGCTCTGGACTGCTTAAAATCTGGAGGATGATTTGAGTAAGGTAAATATGAATGTGTCCTGCCAGGTTCGGGTACAAAAATAAGATGTGTTGTCGACTTTGGAGTCGTAGGAGAAGAGTTCTCGTCTTTTTAATCATAAAAAAAAATTAATAATCCAAAATGATAAAATATATATATGCAGTATTATAATGTAATACCTATTTAGATGATGTATTCACCTTTAGCAGAAGATCTTCTATTACGATATGGATCAGGTTGAATTGAATAGAGTGACGCTGGACGCATTTTGTGAAGAAAAGAGGATGAAGAAAAGAAAAAAAGAAAAAAAATCTTTAAATTGCATCTCCTTATATATAACTCCTAATAAGAAGGGGTACTACGTGTGTGTGTATTTGAGTGCATATCATTTGAACTGGGATGGGCAGTATCAATATAGAAAATTCATGCATAATATCTTGTGATTTTTATTTTTTTTGTGTTATTGAGTATAATGTAGAAAAGTATAAGGATAGTGACGAAAGAAATATTTACAAAAGAGATTTATCTCTTCTTGGGAGCACGAGGCTTAACATCTTCATCTTTAACAGCATGAAGCATCAGTTTGTTTACTTGTCCTTCAGTTGAATGGAATTTGTGGCCCTGAATATTTACAAATAATCAATATAGGCTTCTCCTTCCCCTTTTATATATATATATATATATTACTGTTATGTTATTACCTTTGTCCAATCATAGCTAACAGCATACGCAAATATATTACCGGTACGGTTGTAAGCAGTACAAGCAATTGTACCATTGGCCTTAGGTAAAGTCTTTAATCTTTGCTTTGAATCTTTATCCCAAAATGATACTAAAAGATACAACGCAATTAAATCCCAAACTCTTTCTCTTTTAAGCTATATCGAAGCGAAATTTAAATTACCTGTTCCATCAGCGCCAGCAGTGGAGAAAGTACCGTATATAGGATGAAAAGAGATTGCATTTACTGAGTAGACATTCTTTGTTTCATCACGATGGCATTTAAACGAGAAGCATTTTCTAAAACATTTAAAATATTAATGTACTGAATATTTTCTAGCAATAACCAATACTTACGTCGCATCTTTTTCATCAATATATTGGATACCTACACGTCCTTCAATCGAACTAATAGCATAACCTTTACCGTCAATAAAACAAGAAATGCTACGTGTTTGCCATTTAAGAGGGGATATAGTTTGTTTGAAAATAGTTGTAGGATTGCTCAAATTGAAGACCATCACACTTCTATCTGCAGTAGCGGCAACTAATAAATCGGCCTTTGTATCCATCGAATAGCATCTTTCGGGGAGTGCGACAGTACCAACAGGTTGTGGTGATCTTAAATCCCAGTACTTTAACGTCTTATCCCAACTACCTGTTGCTAAAATGTTTGCTTGTCCGTCAAGAAATTTTACTGCTTTTACTGGCTCGTCGTGTGCACCAATCTGTGTTGTTTGACCCGTATTCAAATCATACATACGTACTGCTTTATCTGCACCACCTGAAACAACTGACATACCATCCTAAAAAAAAAAAAAGAAAAAAAAAAGTTAGCTTACTATCTATTTGACGTGTATATATTCTTACTTTAGACCAATCGACACAAAAAACAGGTCCTTCGTGACTATAAGAAGCTTTAGGTACTGTATTTCCGGTGGGCTGAACCTCGTAAATTCTAACCTAGATTCAAAAAGGTGAATAGGATATAGCTAAAAAGTTTGTGTAAGACCTACATTGTTATCCCAAGAAGGGACAGCTAAAAGGTCTGCCTGGGAAGAAAAAGCAAGGGCTGAGATACCATCAGGAGGGGGTGAGGCTACCTATGACGACATTAGTACTCTATCTCGCGCATAATGTTGATTCGTCTCTGTTTCTTCTGCTTTACTTCAAAATCAGGAGCTTCCATTTCGTTCAAGAATAAATTGAAAAGATAAAATGAGTAATAACACGGTTTTAGTTTTAAACGTCACCTTTTTATTTTAGCAGAAATCAAAAGTTTAGCGCTGTCATGACTGGTTTTTTTTTGTGTAATACTTTTTTCTTTGACCTAATCCCACAGACAAAGGTTACGGAAGGAGGCAGACGATATCAATTATCCAATGAATTTTTAAAAGTCGAATTTTGTAACGAAAGAATTAGAATAGAAGAAGGAAGCATATGACTGTAGAGCAACGGCTTGATAAATACCACGGATCTTTAAATGTCATAAAAGCACTTGTAACTGATATATTTAAATTTTGAACCTTCATACAAAATGAGATTACGCTTAACACTCTAAATAATTACAGATATAAGAAAAGTAACGAACTCTTTTCATAAAAAGCAAAAGGACATAAGGATTTGATCTTGTGTGACCCTGACAAAATGCATTTCAGCTACAAATGCATTCTTTATGTATGGGGTAAATGATTCTCCGAAAGAGGCTTTTTCTAACAGAGAGTACTTTGAAAAGTCTCTTGGTGAGCTTTATAAATTTTTATAGTCTTTTATATCACATATATTGATCATTGTGCGAGTTCTTCGTCTGTGAGTATCTGTCGTTTTCCCATTATAAGATAATTATGTGTACCTTTTGACACTTATGGACCGTTGAATATCGCATAAGCATAGATAAATCCACCAAGAACATTACATGTCAGCTATCACGTCAATAAAATGCTTGTTCCATTTTTCGAATGGAAATTTTTAACATTTATATATTCCTAGCCGACGAGATAAAATGCTTTTAACGGCTTCAATGTTGACTGGAATTTACACCAATGGAAGAGCTTATCTCATTCTAATACCGATCCAAAGGACAAAGGATACGGGAGACGTAGTATCATGGCCGGAGAAGACACTATTAGTGGTATCAACTATAAAGAATAGAGGAAAACAAGTAAGATTAAACGTCAAGAGGCATATATGTACCCTATTTGCTGCACTCATGTGTCGTACAAAGTTGATGTGCTACCATATACTTCAATAAGATTACGCAACACTCTCAGGTGAAAGTCCTAATGACTCAATCAAGCGATATAAATACCAGAGCAACACTTGTATTTTATAAAGGATTGTCTTAAGTTTGATATTATAATTTGGGAGTTCCGAGTAGTGGTATTTAGATATGAGTTTTAAAGTTTGATAGTGAGCACCAAATCAGGTTTTGTAAAGGATGATTAGAC